TTTGTGATGGCGATAGAAAGACAAACTATAAAAAGTATTATGGTGAAATGGTATTATTAGTAATGTATATATATGGGATTAAGATTAATAGGAAAATATAAAAATACCTTGATGTAAGCCTGAAGTATTTCTTTTCGGCCAGCTTCGTGTATCATATTTATAATATGTATCAATACTCTAACGATATATAATCCTACTTCTTCACCGATATTGTACGTTAATAAGGTGAATAATTGATTTAATATAGTAGGAAGAAAAGTAATAGCTGTGACCAACTGTATCGCATGAGCTGCTTTCAATATTTTACATGTTTCCGAATCTGAAGGCGTTACAGATGGCCTCGTATCCAGAATTCGCTCGGCATGAGCAAAAAGATTATATAAATGAGAATCCCGAGTAAATACGGTCGATATTAATTGAAAAGCTACTGTAAATATTGGTCTTTGAGAATCAATCCATGTAATATCTGGTCCAGCATTCTACAAAAAAAAAAGTAAAAAATCAATATTTATTTAAGCACGCTAAAGATTTGTGATATTTATATGTATAATTATATTTAATGCACAATTTGTTTCGTGCAACTTGAAATGCAAGGATTAAATGATATTGATACATCATTATTAATATGATCAAATTCATATAATCTTCATATCCGGATACTCTTCTTGAAAATATTAACTCACTTATCAGGTGACTGATTATAATGATGAAATATTCAAAACGCTTAATGCCCATGCATATATTGAAGAAAATCTCTGTTTACTTCGCAAGCACCGCTAAGAACAAGATAAAACTTTCTTCCACAAACCATAATAATCCATTGTTAAAGGTAATGAAATTTCATCTACTCTGTGATTTCTCTATTGAATCTAATCCTCCACGTATGTAAGATAATTATGATAAAAGAAATTACAAATGAAAGCTACATCTTGAAACATAACAAGTATTAGAAGGTAAATTAATAAATAATATGATCTTACTCTTACCCCTTTCCCTAAACCAAGGGGCTGAATGGAGAGGTATCCTTGTGGTAAATGTGTTGCAACAGGTAAAACCTGTACATTTACATCCATGTTTACGTTGAGTCTGTAAGTATATAAATTATGTAGATTTTAGAATTGGATGTTTATTATGTTGAATTAGGTAATTGATAACATGTTTAGATTTATAATTGTACGCTCTCTCACCTTCCTTTATATAACAATGGAGCCCAAGCATAACCAACGCAATTTTCAACTCCATTTTCCTTTTTCTTATTCATATCACAGCTTATATGATAAAATGAAAAAAGTAAATGATGTTTCGATTGAAGTTTAGTCGGTAACCTTATCTTAATTTCTTCGTACCAAGATGGGATAGCATTATGATGTAAAACTGCGCAAGATGCTCGTAAACACAATAGTGGTGTACCTGGGCGACCATAAATACACTACCGAAAAATTAAATGAAAATGAAATACACGTAAACAAGCGAATAAGTGTATAAGCACATAAGTAAATATTATAAATCAATAAATAACAATAATTAAAGTAATAAGCTTGTAATTTATATACTCTTAAAGGTTCCACATTTTCTCCATCATCGTCTCGTAACTCAACGATACATGCAATGTTCCTAGCTCTTGTAAATATCTTCTGAGTATCAAAAGATAAAGTTTGTGGATAAACATAAAGATGATTGACATATGTAGTATAAGGGTGAACATCCTTTTCAGATGTACTTTCGAATTCTGCAATTTCAAGAGTTGGATCATTTACAGGTGGTATGGGAAAATGTTTCAGAGGAGTCAAAGATGTTGACAATGTATCTGAAAATATATAAACGTTCAACTTATACACGCATTTGTATACATATATATATATATATAAATATATATTATATATATATATATTATATATATATATATAAATAAGAAATATATGTAATTTCTTAATTACATACTTTCTGGTATCTCAATAATAGATTCAATTTTAATTTTCAACCATCCAGGTATAACAGTTAATTTACTAAGTTTTTCAGGTCTGTAAATGAAAGAAATTAAAATTAATATGAGTGGATGCGAGTACGAATCGATGCATACGAAATTGATACATACTTTCTATACTCTGAAAGGAGTTTTAATAGTTCTTCATCTCGGATTTTATTTCCTTCCTGCCTATATATTGCTGGAAAGTCTGGAGAAGTATCTAACTCGTTGCTATATAGCCTAAATAAAGGTCTAGCAGCCCATGCAAACGGCATTCTGTAATTTCCTAATCTAAAAAAAGAAATATTGAATAAATTTATTAGAACATATTTTCAAGTAATAAGACAAAAAAGAACAAAAAAGTTTTCTACCTTTGGCAACACGCTCTAACTTGTTTGTGTACTTTTAAACCTAATCTTGGATCTTTAGTTGCTCTTACATATGGTTCAGAAGTTTGGCATATGTTTCCTTGTAATATCTTATCTATTCTTACCACAAGGAATATGTCAGGATGAGGATTGCTAACATGAAATATAGCCTACACGAAGATAAATGTGTGCATAAACATATAGTAGAAAAATGTCAACACAGGCTGAGAAAGAAATAATTTAATAATAACTTAATAATTACCTGTTTAGGATGTTTTATCCAATCTAATGGCACAATTCTCAATTCTTCAGGTAAAATTATATTTTCACTAGATTCTGTCATAATGCTAGTAGGACTTAATTCCTTGATCATGCCTTGCATAATTTCATGATTAACGTCGAAATAAAAATTTTCGGAGAGTTTTCTACCGTGTTTTGCATCAAAGAGACATAATGTTGTTTGATACGGTTCCACTTGACAAAGAGTTTCTTTTTCATCAATTGGAGCTTGTAATCTAAACTTAAGACTTTCACATTTAATAAAAATTCTATGTCCAAATTGTTCTTTATATGGATCGATATTATGTTCGGTAGAATTTCCTGTAGACGATTTTACACGCGGCATATGAGAATATAGGTTAAACAAAGGTTTTCTATTTTCTCGTCTAGCTAATGCTATACTGGTATCAGTTTCTCTGGAATACTTAATTAATTGTGGATTCATACTCTGTTCCAAACCTTTCAACGTTCCATATACCTATATTCGTAATATTTCAAATTGGTAAAATCTCATTCTCGCCTGATATACGTATAGAGTAATATATATATTATATATTACCTGCATTGGCTGAGGAGAAGGAGGAGGAGTGTTACACGTTCTTTCTAAGGACGCAGCACGTTTCTCCTCTTGTTGCTTGTAATGTTGTAATACAGAATTTAACTTCGATAGCCAATCTTGCATGTCCGTTTCATTATCGGCTGCTAATGTATAAGATTTGTGAGTTCCTGTCATTTTTAACTCAAAACAGTACCTTCCACGTTTAGGATTTCTAACAACTTCTGTACAAAAGTCCATTACTATTGCCAACTTAGCTTCACCTTTCTTCTCATCTTTGAAAAATTCTAAAATATATGTGCCATCGACTTCTTGTCTTAAATGGCAAAAACGTCTTTTAAATGATTTCGAACCGATATGAGCAAACATTCGATCAGAACTTCCAGTTTCAGGTCCTTTCATTAAATATCCTTCTTTTGTAATTCCATTATTTTTCACTAAATCCTAAATAAAGTTTTGTAAAATACAAAGAGAAAATATGAACTGTGTTGAGAAATATAATAATTACCTCATCAACTTGATCCACTTCAGTATCAATTTCGTATACTTCATCCTTGAGATCGTCTGCTTTTGTTATCCTACAAAATATAAGCAATTATATAAGGAGGTATCTTTATAATATTTCATTTATCCTAATGTTATATCGATTGAAAACATACTTTGGTAAATCGAGATAACTTCCATTGTATGCAGAGTATTTATAGTGTACCAAATTCCAATTAGAGGTATAACTTTTTAAACATTCTTTCGTCAAAAGACTTTCACCTTCTTCGTCATTCTCTGAAATATATTGTCCTGTTGGCACAATAGTGCGATAACGCCTTGGTAAGACGACTTGCTACATTCAAACAAATAATAAAATCAAATGAATATTTATGTGTATAAAAAATGTTTCATACGAGTCAATTAATATGATGAATATGTATAGTCAAAGTTAAGGTTATTATGTTATCGCTTATTTATCACTTTACATATAGGATGTAGGACCCCGACAAGGATAAAGATAAGAAGTAAGAGAACTCAACTCACAGAAACATCGTCCGATGGATAAAGCAATAATTCTCTTTGTGGATCATTCTGCAATAATGTTTTATTTTTGAGAACAAAGCTCTCAAAATCAATGGGTTCGACTAAATGTGGTTTACTCTGAAATAAAAATGACATGCATTTAATTAATATTATTAAAACAACATGAAAAATAATATATTACATTATATATATATATATAAATGATATATAATTTGATTGATTGTTTTGATAGTCTCGTTAGAATGAACAATTAAAAATAAACAAATTATACATGTGGTAATGTTTATCGTTATACTTGAAGATTAGAAAATATTTCTTTTATTTTTTAGATAGAAACAGTTAATCGATTCATTTTATATGTTAATAAGTGTAACCAAGATGAAATAAATAGTTGTTGAGGCGCTTAGTAAATGATATATATCGAGATAATTGTATATCGAGTTAAATGCATGAATAATTGTATAATTGTCAAATATACATAGTAAAAAATGTGAAAATAGATGATCGGGCGTGATCGGGCTTGCAAGTATCGGTTGAAGTAAATAGCCCTTACCTGTACGGTACTTTCGCGTACAACCTGAGAAACAGTTTCTCGTAATTGTGCAGCCATACCCGGCTTTCCCAAGCCGCGAGTAAATTTCCTTTCGCTCATCTTCTTCGATGACACATCGCTCCCATCATCTCTTTTTATGAAAAACTCTTCAAATCATCGGCGAGCTTCGAAAGCTCCTATATGTACTCTTATGTATATACATTCAACTGATACATAGTAATTTATCATGGCAGTGTACATGGTAACTAGATTTGGGGATAATATTTTTACAATATGGAGGATAGAACGTGTGTCAATTCAACCAAGAAAATTCAACCAACATCTTTTCCGATACATTTTCCGATTAATAAGCATCAGACAATATATAATATGTAATACGTATGAATATATACATATACGTACTAGTTCAAAGTTAATTATTAGCGCGAAGTAATATAATCTTATAACTAGTTATGGAGGGTAGAGGTAAGGAGTATCATTTGTGTATATGAAAAGTTTCCGTCGAAATGCGTTCAATTAGGGTGGCGCCACAGTAGCTTCAGGGTAAATTTTAAAGGAAGCGCCAAATATTATTAGAATAGGATTGAGAAATAAACAAGAAACACAAATGTCACAACATAAATTTTACCCATAACTGTTTTGTTATTCACTGACTTTTTCATAAAATTAAATGATAAAAAATCAATAAACGTACTATTCACAGTTCACAAAATAAAATCATTCTAATTACACGTTTTCTCATAATAATTCTTTAAGGTTATATTTACACTACATTATTTTGTACTACGCAAGTAGTTGAAATTTTCAATAATTAACTACTTTAGTCGTCAATAATATTAAATTTTTCAACTCGGCACAGTTCAATTCGTTTACAATTCATACCATACCTTTTGTCTACACCAGCGCCATTCTGGAAAGTTTTTGAACTGTTATTTATAGCATACGCTGGACACTTTTTCAAATTTTCTCCCATATGAGATGATACTCCTTACCTCTACACTCCATAGTTATCTTTCGCTCATAGAATTGACGGACAGTCTTAAAAACAATATTAAACTTATATGATTCTACGATGTGAAAAGAAATTAGTTTAAGAAAAATTATATATATATAATGTTCTATTATTATCAGAAAAATTAGGTACAAAAGTGTTCGCATTTTCAGGTAGATTGTACGTATTAGGAATTATTTTATAAATAAAAAATGTTATATAAATAGATTTCATATATATGTATCTCGATTCTATTTATAGAAAAATATAATTTGAAGTAACAGTTTGTTCATCATATAAGTCATTAAGATAGAGAGAGAAAGAGAGAGAGCAGGCTTTGCACTTGTGCAATTAAATTTGTAAAGATATCCGTCGTTGCTATGATAAATAAGGTAAAACTCATTATCTTGATTCTGGCTTTGAAAATGGTTGAAGAGAACCAGGTTGAACCCAAGAAAGTCCCAATGCTCGATTTCCTTCTACTTCCTGAACCAATGAACAAAATAATTATTAATGATAATGCATGCTTTTAAATGTATCTATATTCTAATATTGTAGAATTACCTTTAATTCATATATTTGTTGTTTTACAGGATCATGCAATTCTGGTATGTACGGACTGAATGTAATATAATGTGGATCTTCGAATGCTGGCGGATTATAAACTTCATTTAAACTTTCTCTCACACATTCTTTGGCTCGTTCCCCAAATTGATCAAAATTGTTTTGCAATCTGGAATATAGAAAAAGTAACCTTTCTTTTACATTATCTATTAATTTAAATCATATTGTGTCAAATTTATAATCATTAATCTAAGGAGATTAATAATGAATAAGAACTCATATCGAAGGTGACAAAAATATTTACTCACAAAATGGATGCTTCTTGATTTAGAGGCGTCATTCTTGTATCTATTTTAGTAAGTATTTTTGTTACATACTGTAGCAATTGCCATACCCTATTATTTCTTTTCCATTCAATAAATCCCCAAGTTGTGCATAATTCTCCTGTTTCTGGATTTATAAGCGGATGGAAGACATGGGTTTGAAAGACAACTTTCTAAAATACAAATGCTACCATGAAATCTACCAAGATTAGAAAATAAACGTTTGAAACGATATAACTCTTACAGGACATCCACCGTCCGGAAAATTTTCAGGCAACGTGAGTGTAAATCTAAAAACTCCACCTTGATAAATCCCTTGTCGAATAAATTGAACTCCAAACCACACTAATATCAAAAATGTTACTACGTTAAATATATTACTACATTTAGTAACGATAAATCATAAAAAAAGCTTAGAAAAGAGTTTAATAAAGAAACATATTGTTTAAAAATAGAGTTACATTGAGTTTATACAAATGTTTATCAGAACAAGCCAAAACTTATGAAATATATTTCAGCTATTAAAACTAAAAATTCCAATGAATACTCTAAACTCACTATACGAAATATACTTTATTTTTGCTATAATATACAACGGATATACTGCATACAAAAATGCTATAAAAATAGTAACGTTACCGTTTGAAATTATATAAAGAATAATATTACATACCAAGAGAATTCTGTGCTGATGGTATAACATAAACTCCTTTCAAATCTTGAGTACGCAATATGTTACTATAATTAAATAAATAAATACATTTATGATGTATAGACAGTTTATCCAATCGTTAGATAACTGATCTAATTTTAATTTAATAATAGTCACACTTACTATTCGGAAAGAATGTTATACTCCTGTAAAAAAACTGCATAATTTTTATTGGTTAGAGTGATATTTGGCCTATCAATCATTTTAACTGACATGTTTAATTGAGAGTCCCCATTGACATTCGTTGGTAAAAGTTTTCTAAATGAACCTTGTCTCTTGAAATTGTCATCTTTGTCGTTATCTCCCTAAAATATTCATAATAATATGACAATTTTATGTATTCATCAAGTTGGTTAATGTATGCTCTCTTTGCCTGCTTTTCTTTATCAATTGCATCTTAAACACTACATTTAAAACGTACTTTAGTCGTTGACATGATAAATGGATTGTGAGTAGGTTTATAATATTATTCTTTAATAGCATATATCATTTTAATAAACGTTAAATGCGAATGTCAAAATATTAATTTTTTTTTTTAATTTCATTCAACAGCTTCCATATTCATATAGGCAACTAATATTAAAATACAAGATTGTCGATCTATGGGGGGTAGAGGTAAGGAGTATCATCTGTGTATATGAAAAGTGTTCGTCGCGAAATGCATTCAATTAGGGTGGCGCCACAGTAGCTTCATGGTAAATTTTAAAGGAAGCGCCAAATATTATTAGAATAGGATTGAGAAATAAACAAGAAACACAAATGTCACAACATAAATTTTACCCATAACTGTTTTGTTATTCACTGACTTTTTCATAAAATTAAATGGTAAAAAAATCAATAAACGTACTATTCACAGTTCACGAAATAAAATCATTCTAGCTACACGTTTTCTCATAATAATTCTTTAAGGTTATATTTACTACATTATTTTGTACTACGCAAGTAGTTGAAATTTTCAATAATTAACTACTTTAGTCGTCAATAATATTAAATTTTTTAACTCGGCACAGTTCAATTCGTTTACAATTCATACCATACCTTTTGGCTACACCAGCGCCATTCTGGAAGGTTTTTGAACTGTTATTTATAGCATACGCTGAACACTCCTTCAAATTATCTCTCAAATGAGAAGATACTTCTTACCTCTACTCTTCATAAATATTATCAAAGAATACAGTATTATGGAACAATTGCAATTTGAACATGCAAATCTGATCTCATGAACTTAAAACTTCACTTAGAAATTCTCAACTAACGACTATCTCTCTCCACCATCTTACTTATTGGTAGATGTATAAAGTGCTGATATATTTACATTTGTTTTTAATTACAAATATAATTTTTTGACGTGACATACCTGTATCATGTAATATTATGTTTTACTGTTTTTTATCTTACATAAAAATATAAATATTTATTAATATCTAAGTATAACTAATGATTTATTTTTCATACTAATTATCATTACTTTTTCAGTCGTACAACGTTCTTAACCTGCTACCAAGTGAGATACTAATTATAAGTGTATATATATATATAAATATATAATATATTAATATTAATAATCTAAATAATATATTGAAAGAAATGGAGAATTTAGGTTCAAAACCATCGTTAATTTCAAAATTGAGAATTAGAGATACTATAAATAAAATCAAAAATAGTTCACCACATCTACAGGAAATTCTTAGACAGGTTAGAAAATGATGATACACTTTGTCTAACAGTAAAACCCACAATACTTGATAAATATTTATTAGAAATATATAATTATAATATTGATTTTGATCATTGGCAATAAGATAGCGACTAAAAAGTTGACTTCAACTTTTTGACAATTTGTTCATACAGAGATCTCGCGAAGCAATGATAGAAAGAAGAAAACAAGTATTTAATAAAAGAAGATATACAAAGGTAAGAAATACGTTATGGTATCAAAAACACATCCAATGTTTTAAGGCTTATAGTACTTATTAAGAGAATTAAAAGATGTCTAATCATCTATAAATAAACATGAATCCTAAAATCAATCCTTTAGATATAAATTCATTTGTATTATTATTTATTAGCTTTGAAAATATTATAAGTGAATCTCTTGGCAACATATTGAACGTATACAAAATAATTTGCTTAGAAATACACTAATTAATGTAATATTTGAAAGTGTACATCAATTTATTATTCGTAGATGTCAGAATACATTAAATATGTTAAAAAGACTTGCTTACAATATTTTAAATGCTCATAAATAATAAAAGCTAATTTACATCTAAAGTGTTGACTTTAGGATTCATGTTAATCAGAAATTTGTTACTTTTAATAAGTACTATAAACCCTTATGATATCGGAATCTTTTTTTATCACTTAATATAAAATTTAATGCACAAAAAATTGATAATTTATTAAAAATTAATTTGTTCAAACATATCAAAAAAGGATTTTGAAGAGAATCTGCAAGTGGAGGAAAATCTGTATAGGGAAGAAGGTAAATCTATTGTTTGTAGAATAAAACTTTGTTTGGTATTAAAAAACTTCAAAGAAAAAAGTTTTATAATTGCCGTTTTATAATCTAATGGTTAAAATAATTGTTTCTCAAGGTCATCTTTTTTTTTTTTTTTTAATTGGAACTATATATTTTTTTGGTGATTGAAACATGAAAAAATAAATAACTGATTTATGATCATATCATTCAAAAATAATTAATATTTTTAAAAGATATGCACTATTTGTTTGTACAACCTTTCGGTTGTATTTTTATATATACATGCATTATTGATGTGTAAAGAAAAAACGCGCTATAGATGAGAGAAATTAGTAAACAGAGATCATGGATTGTGAATATAAAGAAAAGAAAATATTGAATTATTTTCAAACCATCATCGTATACGTCATTTTCTTTAAGCCAAAAATGTAAATTAACGTATAAAGTCACTTATATACAAGCAAACAAATTCCGCAACATTTCGGGGGCCGATATTCAAACTCAAGACTTAAAATCCCACGTTAATGCGAGACCTTTTTCTTAATGTGTTAAGAAAAAGTTATTTCGAGTAGATTTTTCCTTTGAAATTTTTTATTACGATTGTATAAACAAAGAAGGAGATATTTAAATATTCTCATTTGTTTGGTCTACTTTGTATAATAATATAAAAGAACGATATTCTTTTTAATTATAGAGCATTGGATGTTGGCAGAATATGACCGTATGCTGCAAAATGAAATTGAGTGGATAGAATCGCTCGTTTATGAAGATAAACAAAAAGTCATTTGTCCGGTATGCCAAATAAATGAAATGATAGAAACATTTGAGACTGTATCTTGCGAAGTTTGCGGATTTCGACTAACAAATTGTAACAATATCCAAATGCTTGGAAACGCAATTGAAAGTAGTGTTAATAATCATTCTCAACATTGCACCGCTGTGCCTGGCTTTACGGTGGTCGAAGAAAACAAAAGCTTTCTTTTGTATATGACATGTGAAACATGTTCATTCCTAACGTGTGTTATTTAATGTGTCCCCCCTGTGTAGATTTTTCAAATATTTAAATACTAAATTTAAATATGAAATTGTTAAAGTTGATTGATTTCATTTGTCCTTATAATTGATAGTTTTAAAATTACTTCTTGATAAGTTATATACAGTAGGATTACATATGCTTTTGTTTTTGATATGACATTCATTCCGACATTTTTTTGGAGAAGTGTATATATATATATATATACACAGGTATAAATTGATTCTCAAATTATTTAGTTTAAAAATAAAGTTGAAAAGAGAGAGAGAGAGAGAGAGAAAGAAAGAGGAAGAAAGAATATAATTGTATTTTTTTTTTTTAACTAAATAAAAATGCCATTAAAAATATTTATTTTCTAATGTCAATAATTATAACAAATTAGGAATATACAAAATACAATAATTATCCCATTTTATTATTACTTTCTCAATATTAACATTTGAAGAATAACAGTATAATTAGAGTATATAGTTTTGTTCGTTCACGTGTATAGAAACGGTATATGTAAAATGAATATTTCTCAGTGTTAGTTTTTCTATTTTTACGTCCCATTTGTAAATATGTATTAAAATATGTTTTAAATTTAAGTAAACAGGAAAGACATGTGTATAACGCATAGTTTATAAGAAAATTGGACAGAATAAGTTGAATAAATGAAAAATATGAAGTATAATAGAAAAAAATGAGAAAAACGAGTTTTGAAAAATAAACATTTTTAAAAGAAAATTTATTTTCATACGATCGTATTCTTTTTTTTCAATTTAATGTAAATATATACATATGTACATATGCACATAATTAAGATTGCTCGAAGGTGTGTTCTCAAACACACCTCCACTCCGCTCCACGTCTATTTTTCTGCGCATACATGGTACTATATGTACACGTATACACACAATTTTGAAAATACTTTTGTAGCTAAGCTTTAATAACTGACATTTATAAATGATTTGTACATTATAACATTAAATGACATATTAAATGTTATAGTAGATTCTGGTAAATGTATGTATATATATGTATATATATGGTATTTTTTTGTATATGTAGATATAATTTGATACAATTTATAAAGGCACACAATTAGAGGCATAATAATTCCATTACTTTCTTTTCCTTATATGGCAACAGCTTGGCATTTAAGATCTGTTGTTGACTGAATATTACGCATTCATTACTTTAATACCACCAGTCTCTCTTACAATAATATTATCATATGGCACCTATATCAATGAAAATATTTGAAAACGTGTTAAAAAATAAGGATACAAGAAACTTACAACATTTTCTTTAAAGATCTTAATGTAGTATATATATCTAACTATATAATAACTATTTGGTATAGCTACATTTAAAATTCATTATATTGCGTCGAAATGAACCTTTTTTTCCTGTTAAAGTTAGTATGACATAATTAAAAAATCAAGTAAAATAAATAAATCTTAAAAGATGACACTGAAAGATGCATTGAAGAAATACCTTTAACCCTTATTGGTCGTCATCTTTTTTTAATACGATTCTCATTAGGTTCCATAAAACGCCAAAATACCGTTGTCAATGAAGACGTACCAAAGACGTCCCCGATAAGGGTTAAAATAAAAAAATATTAAAGTATGCGAAGTAATAATTGCATTTCATGAATAAGTTTGAATATAAATTTGAACGTATATGAAATTGATATTGAAAATTGTATGTACCAATGCAGTATGCAAGACTTTATATAGTAGGCAAATTTTTAAATATTACCATAGGGCAAGGAAAATATAAGCGAGAGATTGTGTGTGCATTTGAAATTTCTTCGTCGTATACAGCATCGAACATTTTCAAATAAATGTATTTAGACTGTAAGACAAAATTCGTATTTAATATTACCTACTTACCATTTCTCGTGAGTTTAATGGTAAGTGTTTGATAATTATATATAAAAACTTTTCTTTATTAATATTACAAAAAATACGTTTAATATAAGGAACGTAGCGACTATAGCTTCTTTGAAGGGTGTTGTCATTAGTTTATATGAATGTATAAGAAATTGAAATAAATCGTGTGAAATGACAAAATTGGTGGTGTATTATAGTTATACGAATGTAAATTAAAAAAAAACATGCTTTTAAGAATGTATTTACGGTAGTACGTTATTAGCAATATCACAGAATTGACAGAATAGAGTTCAAATCATTAAGATGTTAATTTAGTTTGTATTTAGAATATCTGCATGGAATGATCGCTTAGAATTAAATATTTTTTTTATGTATATGCTTTAATTAAACAAGTTTAGCGATCGATTAGTTTCTAAGTGGATCCATTTTTGGAATAACTTTGAGAAGAGCGACAATTAGTGATGAAATTAGGTAAAATCAAACCCTGGTAAGGAGAACGAGTAAAGAGAGGGGCTGAAGAAATTTTAAAACGAAGCGAATGCGAAAAAAAGGGCTTATGCAAATTGTTTTACTCATAGTCAAAATAGGACGCTACGTTCTTTTCATAATTGATTCTTTTCATTGTTTTTCATTAAAAATATGTTCATTTTTCTTTTTGCCATTAGGATTTGATAAGATATAGATATAAGATCCTAGATTGGATGTAGGAGTTATGCTTGAAAAGGTTGGATCAAAATATGTAATATTTTTATAATCATTTTGAAAGATTGATAAGAGATAAACCTTACTAGACAAGGTAAGTTTCAATTTCTACGATGTTTATGCGTCTGAAATTAGTTTGCGCATATATTTTTCCAAGAGATCTGTAGTTTAAAATTGGTCGTCACTGCGCAGATCGTCGTCTTTCCGTTCGATTAACCGCTGCAAGTGCTTCTTCGGGTAAGCGAGCCGGATCTGACAGAATATCAGTGGCAGTACACAGATACCTTAAGGAGTTCAGAACAGCTGGAAAACATATATAAAAATATATAGATAGCATGGTAACAATATTGTCGCGGAAATGTAAAACGCATTTTAAAGGAGACTTTGACACAAACCTGGTCTGAGATCGACGAGCGAACAATGTTGCTCGACCCATAGTACCGTGCTTCTGTATAAGTCTTCGACGCTAGCCGTTGATACCGAAGTATTGAAGGAGAGCATTAAAGGTTCTAGCAAAATGCTAAACTGTACAAGTTTGTTAAGAAAAAGCTTTAACATTACTTAGATTACTAAGATTTCTAATCATCATTTTTTCAAGGATACGATCCAAAATTTCCAATTTTCTCTAGTACGGTTACGCACGTACTCGTCAAACATTTCTTTCATCTTATTAGTTCTATGCCTAGAGACTGGAGCACCCGTTGCAGGAAGCATAGATTGACAATTACTAAAAAAGCATCGTAAGTAAGTAGTAAATAGGTATATATATATATATATATATATATAAATTCATTTGAATTGAATCATTTTATTAGATAAAGTATCTTAGATGATATACGATGCACTCGTACCTAATAGAAGTATTAAGGCACTCGATTTGATGTCTCAAACTATCCATCTCCTCTTTAAGCTGATTCCTTTCTGCCCTTAATTGTTTAATGTAATCTGCTCCTTTTTGTAACATGGCAGCTTTAGCTAATTTTGCATTAGGATTCTGATTAAGCTGCGGTATTAAACTGTGAAGCATATCAAAGCCATTCTTAATGTTGTATCTGCGTTTTTGCTCGGCATGAATATGTCCGACTCTTCTTTGTTCCTTGTATTGTCCTCGTTCCGAATCTCCTTTAATGTAATTTCGCGGAGGCGATAAGGGACTACCGATACTCAATGGACTGTGAAGGGGACTTAGACTCAAGGCTTGAGGAGAACTAGGTGCATTAGAATGATCCTTGGGCGAGCTAGGACTATTTTGCGATGGATGAGTTTGATTATTTGTGTTCAAGAGAATCTGTTGTTGACCACAATTCGATTGTATTCCCTAAAAACAAATAATTTATCGAATCATCAGCGATCAATGAAGATTGTTGTCTTTCTCTTTCTCTCCGAGAATCCTACCTGTTGGTGCTGCGATGCTTGGATAGAAGAAGATTGTATCGCTTGAACCGTGACTGGCGTTTCAATATGATGACCGGTAGTTACTTGAGTGACCGAAGCAGTTGGTGGTAAAATAGGTAGTATGTGTTTAACGTTATTAGATTGATTCGTCGTTGGTATTATTTTTTCGGTTGATGCGTTCATTGTACATATATTGGATGTATCTACATGGGAAAAGATACAATTTAGAAAGAAGAAGAATTCGTAGAAATAGTTTGGTAGAATATAACACGTAGGTGCCATTGAGAAACCTTATTATTACGTACTGTTTGTAAGAAGTTGCGCTAGTAGGACATTGTTATTTAAATTTAGAGCAGGATCGCTTACTGCAGATGCTAAGGGCAATGGGTTCATCCTCGGCGGTATCAAAGAGGAACTGCTTCTAGATCTGTTTCGCGCTTTCATTTGGTACTAAAAATAAAAAGGTTTAGCGTATAAAAAACGTGTAAAGGATTTAACGGATGGTGTAAAAATAGTACTATCTACGAACCTTAGGCACTGCAAATACTTCTTTTTCCGACGTAGTTACGATTGATTGTGTTACTAATTTAGTCGGTTGCAGGGTAAGATCTAAGCCGGAAGATCTACACTGTAATAATATCGGCGATTGCGTTGGTTGTTGCGTTGGAACAGATACGACTTGTTGCGCGGGATGCGTCTGTCGGTGAGAAAATAAATCGAGGCGTAATCTCGTTGACGTCAATATTATACTTGATATATCGTCTAGACTGTTACGGATCACGTCACGATTGTGACGGCGTGAATTGCATTCGTACCTTAAAATTATTGCCGGTGTATTTACATTGTTGTTGAGTATTAAAGTTTGGTAGTTTGTAACAAGCGTTGGGCAGCGGTGGGACGATTTTGTAAGGCTTCGAAGACATCGAAGGGATCGGTGGTAAGGATCTTATAGCACGCTGCTGCACAGCGGGCAATGTCGCATTGGTTTGCGCAAAGTTTTGCTGGGCATTTATTATATTTTGCACATCGGCTATCGAGGAGATCTGCGTTGCATTAACGGGTTGATCGTCCAATGTCGCAATTTGCATTTGATTGTCGATAGGAGCCAATTGCACCGCTGTTTGGACTTCCATGGCATATGATTGTTGGCTCGACTGTTGCTGCTGCTGCTGATGCTCGTAGCACGAATTTCGTTGAACCGTTTGAACATTTGGAACGGCTTGGACAACCTGTCGATATGCGTCCACTCGTTGTTGGTGCGTCTGCTGTATCACGCGATTGGTTCTACCGGATCGACGATTCTCTTGTCGAGTTTTTTCTCGCGTCGACTGACCACCACCATTATTCTTCGTTGACGCCGAGGAAGACGACGACGACGACGACGACGATGGCGACGATGACGATGACGACGACGATGTCGTCGTCGTCGTTCCTCCCGTTGTCCTCATCGCTGCCGTAGTCGTAGGTGTCGCCGTCGACCTCTCGACGAAATTTTCTTCCACGGCTCTGTAATTCATCTCTATGTCCCTATGTTCGAGAAAAGAATAATTTTTCGTAAGCCGCTGCGCGGCGTCCGCGCGTTCTTTAGACCGAAAAAGGATGAAAATAGAAATAGGGGGAATGCGTTACATGTCATTCCTGTAAACGCTGCTAGACTCCGCTTCAGACTGGTTATATATTTTTCCGGTATAATGAAGATTCTGCAAGCTGTTTCCCTGTTCTTCAGACAAGGCTGTCGTTGATCTTTCATCCTTGGACGTTACCTCTTCGTTTAGTTCGTTCATCTGATTGATCGGCGTCATCAGATCGAGATCAGGATAATTGGTGTTTAAGGTACCACCTCGGAACATATCCTCTTCTTCTGGTACAGGAGGTAACTTTGAGTTTAAAAATTCTACAAATAAAATTCTTTAATTAAGATTCTTCTTTAATACTATTTTCGTTTTTTTTGTTTTTTTGTTTTGGTGAAAAAATGTACCTTGTAATGGTTCTAGAGTGTCCATAAAATCGTCGAGATTCGGTTGGAGTGGTCCTAAACTTGGTTGAATGAAATCTGCAAGGCTAGCTCCGCGCGCTACACGAATAATGAACATTTGCTTTTATCTTAACTTTTCTTTCAAGAAATGTTCGCATAAATGAAATTAATAGTTACCGATTTCTCTGGGATCTGGAAAGTATATAGGCTGATTGGAGCTAATTGTGGAAAATAGCGTATCGGTCATAAGCTCCATATAATCTTCATCAACCATCATACTCTCTCCGCCATGAGCTCCCCCAGTTCCTCCATACGCGTTCGCCATACTCGCACCAAAATGTTCCGATGTTTCCATGCCGTTGCTCCAATCTAGCGTGTCCATCGATTCCATCTGAAAAAATATTGTTTCCACCAAAACTTCAACTAATTTGAACCCGTCTATTTATTAATAGAGATTAAAAAGAAGCTACCTACCGTCTCCGTACCATCCTTGTTCGTCCAACCAAGAATTTTGTTTCTGTAGAACATACGCCATTTTTTGTATTCTGCGGTAACAGCAGCAAGTTTTCTTTTCCAGTATTTGCCTTCCAAGACTACTGCCTGATAAAAGCAATTGTAAGAAGAAACGACAAAGAAGGAAAGATTTTCCTCGAACGAAATGACAAGGAAGTATTAAAGTAATGAAAAGGAAAAGATCGTGAAAATATCCTCTTTCATCTTACCTCCGGCTTATTATGAGTGTCGACGTCAAGAGGCGATGCAAATTGGCACACCAACGTGTTCTGCTTCAGTATAACTGTAGAAACATGAGAAAAACTTTGTTAAGCTAACCATAAGTTAAAGTTGCTTCTGCATCGAAGAAAAAACGCTAAAGCCGATGCCTATTTTACGATTCGAGCTTACATTTTCTTTGACGTCACGCGTAGCGAGAACTAGTAAACAAATTATGACTTTTTTTTCTCTGATTCTTAACATTTTCTTCTCCTTGCTACCATTTTATATTGGAAATTGAGGCACGAGCAGAGAAGAAAAACTCGCGTTGGAACTCGGCTAAGAATGAAAAATATGAAGCATACGATCCCCGATCATCGCGATAATATTGGAAATTTATGCGAAAATGTGATCGAGTGTGTCAAACGGAAGCAGGAACGTAGTTTTGCGCGAAACTCGTTTCTTTGCTAATTAAATACCGTTGCGACGATATATATTTGTATCTATATAAGACACATACGTATAAAGGATCGATAGGAGATAGTTGACTAGTTGAGGAAGGAATGCCAGTTGGAAATAGTAGTAGTAGTAGTAGTAGTAGTCGTCGTCTAGAATAAAATGTTATTCGAATCTTGCTCAAAGGGAAAATATGAGAGACGAGTCGCGGAGATATCGGAACGAGAGAGGGTTGCTGCTCAAGCTGATTCAACATAATAATATCTTGAAAAAGAAAAGAGAAAAAAAATTGAGCTCGGTGGATTACAGTCGTTTATAGAATTTGCATTTTTTTTGAGCAAACGAGAGGAGGAGGACATGCAACAAGAGAAAGAGGGAAAGAGGTAACGAGGAATTGCACCGTGACCTGCTACGATCGAATTCTCCTACAGTCTTATTTTCTCACATTGCATATGCCAACATCTCCAGATAACGTTGTTCAATCTGATCTTGTCTTTCCACCTCAGTCTGATCCCTTTGAAGCGATTCCACTTGGGAGACGTCAGCTTCTGTCTGGAACAAATTCGAACGCGCTTATGTCATACTACAGCTACATTTTTTAATGATAATAAAAACGAAGCGCGTTCAAAGTTGTACAAAAAATAGAGGACAGTTAGAAGATTGGAAAGTGATTGATAAAAGAAGTTACGCTTATCGCTTTTTATAAATGGTGGAAAGTTTAACAAAGGCCTTGCCTATAATACATATGCGCATACTAAATACATTTCTCTAGCTGGTTCTATTGGGATTAAGAAATACCACTAGTCATCTACCCGCGATTATAGTTTCTACTTATTCTCAATATTAAATAGATACGAGAGCAAACTCATGTTTCTTTGTTGCCGCGAGACAGCTTGTGTTTCAGTTGCGCGTATATTTGTTCGTTAGAGGACAACATTTTCAAATAGAAAGAAGAAAAGAGGTAGAGTGTTACAAAATAAGCGGGAAAAACATGCTTTTCCAGAAGAAATTTGTTTATTCAATTTTTCGCTGAGTTACGTAAGAAAGAATCGTGGGTGGCGGGAGCGCGGATAGATTATCAAACGTGCGTTACGTAAACGTATTCTAGTCGAAGTAGTGTTATATTATATCGGAGCAGAGAGAATTGGAAGAAATATAATATATATATATATAGGAGGAGCTCCAGTATAAATCTCGCCTTTAACGAGATATCGATATCATAGCAAGATCCTTAAAAGTTTATCAATATAAAGAGCACATATGTTACGAGACCCAATTACAAATTTTCCGCTTTTCAAATTGAAGAATGAATTCGCTAATCGAGGATTGATTGCTCGGCATGTCGCGGAAAATAAGTTGCTCGATTGCAATCAATATCGATAGCGAGATGACGATACCGTCTAAAACGGAATAAAAAAATAAAACGGCGATACCAAATACAAGATAGGCGAACGCACACAAATACGAGGTTATCGCTTACGTAAGCATAAGAAGTTGAAAATAAGACGCATGTCAGTGAACCAATTGCAAACATTGGACGTACAGGAGTAGTTGAAGAAGTAGGAACAGTTGAATCGAACACAAATTCAAAAAGGATTTTTCCTTACAACGAACAATAATATATCGTCGAAGTGAGGTTTTTGCGCGACTCGTTTCGAGATCTCTGCTAATAAAATTTGCCTTGGCATTAGACCCTAGTTACTTGGATTTTTTCCCAGTCATTAAGCGATAAGATAATCAAGAGAAAAAATTGATCTATATAAACCTAGGGGAGATTTTATCGCGCTCGTCTAGCGAGAAAGCATCTTTCTTTTCTCCTTAAATAACAAATATCGACGACATCGTTCTAGAATGATTTCTTTCTTTACAGAGCAACGTCTTTAACTGAAACAATCTTATATTTATCTGATAACTAAATGCTGTTTACCAAATGCGACGATAAACTTGACGAACATTGCGACAAAAGAAATCCTAGTTAGTAAGAAGGAACAAGCTCACGACTCGTTTTTGACCGAGTTTAACAGAAGCAAGGCCGCGCCCTTTAATAGCATCGTCTTCACGTACGGTTCTATGGCCTCGCTTTCATTAATTTTATTCCCCGTTTCTCGTTGACCTACCAAATGCAAAAGAGAGAGAGAGAGAGAGTCTCGTTTGAATGTTGATCCATGCATTTCTCTCTCTCTCTCTCTCTCTCTTTCTCTGTCGCTTTTAGCAAGGCAGAAGACTCACCTGTAGGCCAAGGACATGCATTGAAAGAGCTTGTTTAAGGACGTTTCAATGCTGAGTTGTTGAGAATTGGGTTTATAATTGTAGGTGCCTCCTATGAACTTTTCTAAAGAAGAATTGGTCGGTGTCATAATTGCCAATTTGGTGTTTTCCTCGTCAGGAACAGGAACGGCGAGTTCGTCCTCATCGTCCTGCGCTTCCGCTTCGAAATCGGAAACCATAAAGTGGCCAGAATGTATCGTCTCTCGGGAATCTCGTCCCGCGTTTCTTCTTTTATTGTTACCGATCTCCCCCTTTCCTCCTTCGGATCGATCGAAGAAACTACTTTGGCTCGACGTCATCATCGCCAAGGGCTTTCTGCAGATCAATCCGGCTTGCATATCCTTCCTCTCCGATCCGCTCGAGTCACCACGTCTACCTGAATTTAATACTTATTTTGATATATTATTAACATTGTCTATCGGTTCATCTATTCTGATCTATTTCTATTATCTGTTGATCGAAATTATTAACCTGATTATTTGAAATTATTAACAAATGTATACTCCTTTGTTTTGACTCAATTTACAAGCAGTACGCAGTATGCAACACATGCCTAACAGCGAAAAAGCGTGTTTACACAAAAATGAATATGTTGCGGGAGAATGTGTGAATGTTTCGTAAATTCGCAATTAGTTTCAAACTCCTGACTAATTTTTCCTCTTTTTATCGAATTTTTTCTAATCAAAGTAGCCACACCGATCTTAAGATAATTTAAGCGCCAAATTATTTGTCAAGTTAGAAGACAGCTCGTCGTTATCTAATAAAAGTACTTATATTCAACTTTATCTACATTAACCTTAGTCCTATCTACCGATTTATTAGATCGACTACTATCGAATTTGTTGATTAACGTGACGATTCGAACAACAATCGCGAGTCTAATATCGAGTTTTTTTTATTAGAATCGCATCCATCCTCGCCTAGAGGAGATACGCTTAAATTATTTTCACTGTCGTAAGAACGTTTTTTATCCTACTGAAGGATTAAACAAAGCGATAACTTTTCTTTATCGGCCTAATGGTGACAAGCTCGACGAGAGTTGCTTTAATAAAACATTATTTATCGCAAAAAAGATGATAAACTGATGATAAGAAGATGATTCTTCTCGTAGTAATGGACGACTCCGTTTTATTCGAAACAACAACGCGTTGCCAGCAGAAAGGAGTTTCCAATCCCGCTATATTCTGATAATAATGACGGAAGCTTTCCGTCCTTCTTCTAATCGATTCTTTCGCAATACCCTTAGATAAATTTATCAATCACTAAAGTGTATCAAAATGGTCCGGTCCGGTTTGAAGTCAACGACCTATCGACCTTTTTTTTTTTTACCCCGGACGAGAAAATTTGATTCGATCGGGGTACAATTTTCGTAACACAAGGAAAATCGCTCCTACCATTTGACTTCCCTCCTCTTCTTCAGCTTTCTATCGTTGAGATTAGTTTCGACTCCCGTCGCGTGGCTCCTTCAATTAAACGATAGTTTTGATCCTCGTCGACTCTGCATGCCAAGTGTCTATGTTTACGTTAGTAAGGCAAAAACGCTATGTGAGTCTGCGACTGCGACAGCGACAGCAACAGCGACGTCTAATTAAACGCGTTCTTATGTTTTCCCCTTTTTTAATAGGCTCGCCTCTCGAGTACTCGATGTCCAATAAAATATGATAATAAGATGAATTAACAGTTAAGTAGGATAATAAATTATTCACTTTTTAATTATATAGATATAATTAACGAAGCGATTTGATAAAAAAAAAAAGTTAGCGTACCTTTCACGAGAAAAGGTAAGCTAAAGATAAGCAAGTGTGAAAAGAACTTGAAACAGAGTTTAGAGAACCTTTGGTAGTCTCGATTGCAGCTTATGCAATCGTCGGTGCAATACGAACAAACATTCAATTTTGTCCCACACGTGTGTTTGCTGCTTGCTCTTTCGACGATTTTCTTTCTCTTCCCGATAATCAGTGTGAAAACCCTATTGTTCACGGATAACCTTTAAACCGCCTCTTTGATTTTATCGCGATCTAGAGCTTCGAAACTATGAGCATTTTTTTTTTAGTTATAACATTGACTAACAATTTTCTTATGTTGATCGTCTTGTTCTTATTACAAATGCTTTTTATTCATTGTACTATCCTCTAGTCTATTGAAAGGTTAAAATAGGTGAACCCTAGTTGTATCGTCAACTAATTATGCTTACCGCTATTACAATTATAATTGTAATAGTTCTTTTATTTTTTTACCAATCAATAATAAAGATAACGCACTCTATCTAATTATTGTTCTGTAATGAAATGTTTAATTAAATAATAGTTTTTGGATAATTACAAAGTTATTAGATTTTTCGACTGTTTCTGCTGTCTCGCTTATTTTTCTTTTTTTCTTTGTCTGTCTCTCTCTCTCTCTCTTTCTGGCTGTCTGTCTGTTTGACTCCCCAACTCTTTGTAAAGACAAAGATTGCACGCGCTATTTGTGACTTTGAAATTGGCTCTCTTTTACTTTCTAGATAGTAAATGTATATGTCGATTATGAGCGCGCGCGAAAGAGACAAGCGTTATCTAGAAGCAGTATGTAGATACGACGAGAGAGTGAGTGAGAGAGAAAGAGAGAGAAAGAGATATAGAGTAGACGACGATATAGTCTTTTTCTCGGAGAGAACGTATCATAGGTGCTCGATAGGAAAAAGAATTGTTCAATTATCTCTTTCTTTCTCCTAGATTTGAGAGAGACAGACGTCACTTCCAGAGGTACACGCTTTATTCTTCATCAAATGCGCACCAGATCTTTTTTTCTTTCCTTTTACATCGACTTACCTCCTTTCTTTTTTTATCAACGCTCTCCTGTTGTAGCACTTTTATTAATTGCGCTTCTTTTCGCTGATAATAACCACCACAACAACAACAACAACAACACAACAGCAAAAAAACAAGGAAATTGAGTAGGAGAAGGATAAAAATAAGGACAATCGTAATAAAAGAACAAAAGTATAAAAACACTAATCAATCGAAAGCACACACTTCGAAAAGAAGAAAAGAATAAAATTTGCCGTCAGGCTGGGCCACAAGGCACCGCGCCCGGACGAGGTCCGTACGCGTTACTAGACAGAACACGCTCGTTCATATTGCCTCACAAGACGCCATTTGCAACTCGTCAGCACAGCGTCGTCGACCATTAACAGAAGCACTGATAGTTGGAGCCGATTGGGTGGGAGGCGCTGTTTACGCCGCAATGCACGTTCACCCTTATTTTTATTAATTGATCATCGCGAACTCTTTTGGACGTTATCGGAAACATTTGCAACGTCAAGCGCCGCGCTTTTTTCGAACTCTTCTGTCCTTAAGTTTTTGCTGAAGTATCATCATGTCGAGCTTTCAACACTAACATAAGTCGATTACTATTTTAGGTAATCCTTTTCAATTTAGTTTAAACACACTTGTATATTTTATTGAGCCCCTCCCAAAAAAAGTATTTACAACTTTAAACAATTTGGTATCACTCTTTTTTGAAATGTGAATTTTTTTTCGATATTTGAGGTTTTTGATTTTAAATATTCATAATATTTTAAAAAATCCACCAAATGAGTCGTTTTTTTTCAAATTGTATGTTGTATACAATTGCATACAAGTTGAACGCAGGACAATTGGGGTCCTGTTATAAATTTTATTAAAAACGAGGAAGAGGATTACATCTTTACTTTGCAAAAAATTAATATTTCATTTTTACAAAGTTTATTGTTATTAAAAATTAAAAAGTTGTGAAAAATAATAAAATTCACAAGCGAGAGAAATTAAATAACAAAAAAATAATAATTTTAGGATAATTCATTTGTTTTCAGAGTATGACATTTTTCAAAGCAAAGGTACACTTCGGTACACAAGGTGGCACTTCGCGTGTCATACACCAATATCGTGACTCCTTACAGATTCCATTTCTTGAGCAGACAACACATTTTCAAAGTAAATTTTCTTTCGATGTGATGTGTAAGTTTTTTTGTAGCTGTAGTTCACATTCGAAGAATTTCCTAGAATTTCCTTAAAAGTTTTCGTCCCAGTCTGAAAAATCTAATGGAGCTTCGTCGCGATCGGGTGGATATCTATCAAAATTTCTTTTGTCCAGATGATGCTTCACCTACGAATAAAGATAAAGATAAATCATTTTTTCCAACAAACTAATCTCTGAATCAATCGTATCGAAATTACCGTAGGTTTGATGGGTGAAGACATGGACAAATTGTTTAACGATTTCCATTGAAAATCCTTGAACCATCTAGAGTATTTATAGAAATTTCATTTTTATATGATTTTGCATTTAAGGCTAAATAATAAACAAATTTGCTCTTGCCTGTGATGACGAACATCCGCAGCACCGTTTTGCAAGTTGCCGAGTCTTTTCGTAGGGTCTGCTTTAAGCAAACGCTGAATAATATCTTTGACTGAATTAGAAAGTATTTTAGGTATTTCGACTGTCTCAATACCCGCGATGATATTATTGCCCACTTCGACGTCGTTCATACCTTGGAAGGGAGTCCAGCCGCACAACAATTCGTAGACGACGATGCCCAAGGACCAATAGTCGGCAGCCCTTTGAAAGATTCAAATGATATACATAGGTAATAGAATATCGATAAATCGATAATCATATCGGTATAATTACCAACCTATTGTACCCTGAACTCTGAATGATTTCCGGAGCTAAATACTCGAGTGTGCCGATGTACGTCATAGTTTTATAAGGGCCAATGAATTTGCTCGATCCAAGGTCAGTCTGCGAGATAAATATCAGATGGATTTAGCCCATAAAATAGAGAAAGAGAGTGAAAGAGAAATACTTACGAGTTTAACGTAGCCGTTGTGGTCGATTAATATGTTTTCCGGTTTGAGATCTCTATAAATGATGCCAAGCGAGTGTAAATGATTAAGGGCCTCGACGATGCAAGCAGTGATGAACTTTACGTCTGAAGGTTCGAAACGAACCTTCTTCTGCAATTCCGTACGTAGATCTCCACCGAGACAGATCTCCAAAAGGAAGTAAAGGTATCTTTTGTCTTTGAACGTTCGTAATAATCTATAAAATGGACGATCGATCGTTTCCATCAATGTATAAGTCATGTGTGCGTAAATATTATAAATACAAACCTGCAAATAAAAGGAGAATCACAAGCCATAAGATTGTATTTTTCATTGTAGATAATCTTTTGTAACTTATTTTTCGTGATCAAGTTCTTCCTGATTTTCTTCCTAGCAAAACTGATATTCGGCATTGAATTAGCGGTGACCAATTCCACTCTTCCGTAACCACCTTTTCCGATTGTACCTTCGATTTCTAAATCGGCTAGGGTCAAATCTTGAAATTCTTTTTCCCAATTATCTTTAACAACCGGTTTTTTATTGACCACCCATTTCTTATTCTTAATCGATTCTAGTCCCCCGAGATAATCGATGAAGGACCTAAAATGAATTGTTTACTTTAAAATCAATATAAAATTGACAAGGAATGTTTCCGTGTAAGTAGATAAATAAATCTGAACGACTGTTGACTTACTGCCTATCGATGGTATAACATTCGGCGCCAGGTGGTAGAGCCACGGCATTTGCCTGTCGACGACATTCGGTGTCACCGTAAAGTGCTTTCTCACCAAAATAATCACCCTTCTCGAGGAGAATCAAATCATCATCGCCTCCGTACGATTTATTTTTCGTTATTTTAACGTTTCCACCGTTTACTATGTAAAACTTGACGCCTGGGTCTCCTTCGCGAAAAATGTAGCTGTTTCCCAGAAAAAATTCCTGCAATTTTGTGAAAATAATCACCAATCGGAAATTAGTACTGATCGAGCTCTAATTAATCTTACCACGGCTATCAAATCTGACATCTTTAAAAGCACTTCTTCGGGTAGCTCACTCAGAATCTTGATCTGCCGAAGCATTTGAAGATTGTACTCCGTAGATTCTCTCATGGATTTCGTTATTATAGCGTGAAAGCTTTTTCTATCGAGTACCCAAACTTTCCCGTTCGTCTGTACTGAAAAGAAATAACAAAAATATACATTTGATTGGAAAAGAACTTTTTCTTCCTCCTTTTAGAAAGGGTCGTTAATTGATCGACGATTAAGGATAATAGTTGTTTATTCTAGTAAGAAAGATAGGCCTTGATATACCATCTATCGAGCATAATCTTTTGATATTGTAAAGTAAGGCGAGCTCTCCAAAGGCCACTCCGGTTCCGAATCTTCCGTAAAACGTATTTCCAACGTAAATCTCGAAACTGCCCTCTTCCGAGACGTATAATTCCGAGCCTGAAAGTTCATTTCGTTCGAAATGAATTTGTTTCGATCGAATGCACTTTTTCTTTGCTTCTTGAAATCTTACCCGTTTCACCTTCCTTAATGAGTCTTGTATTAGCTAAGACTTCTCGAGGTTGCATTGCGGACGCGAGTTTCTCGATGTTGTCCTCTCCAAGATTACTAAGAAATTTATTTTGCAATATCGCTTTCTTTATCAGCTCCTTTGATCTGCGAGAAGATCGTATTTCGTTATACGAGTTGAAAAGAAATGAAAAAAACGACCGTGGAAATGAAAATAAGTACCGTGCGTTTTTCTCGTAAGTCAATATGGTCGTCGTTTGCGTTTCCTCAGACTCACCCATAACTCCATATTTTCGCACAATTAATGTATCTCGATAAAAATCCTCAGTGATTTTTCTTGGCTGTTTTTTTTTCTGTAGTTTAATCGTGAAACCACTTCGAAATTTCTTCAAAGACATTCTCTTGACTCGCTTACAAACGAACTATTAAGAAATGTTCACTAAGAAATCCAATTTGTTTTGCGTTCTTCTTTCCTTTATCGAAACAATCAAGACATTTTGAAAAATCTTATCGACTTCTTCGTAGATATTATTATGATACATTAATCAAGAGTAAAAAAGGATGAATATTTGATGACAACAGAAGGATTATATGCGCTACTAAATAATTAGCCGAAGGACGATAGATAGGTAGGGGATCGACGAGGCTGATAGCTCGATCAAAATTACCTTTAGTTTTTCGATTGTGGTATCTTCGAAAGATATCAAACTTGACTGATTGATTCCTCTAACAGTCATAAGCATAGATCTTATCAGTTGAGGATAACACTCTTGGTTGGCTTGGTGCATCGAAAAAAAACTACTGACAGATAAACCTTACGCGTTTGCTCATTCATTTAATCTGCTACCATACTATTTGTTTAAAAAAGCTCTTTGTTTTTACGGCGATAAAGAGTTGCGATCGATAACAATTAGGTCGATGCCGTCATCGGTCGACCACATGACTTTGATTGAATATTTGCGTCTAATACCGTATATCCTTTTCTACTAGTATTTGTTTGGAGATGTAACACGTGAATTCCTCTTTACAAAAGACTTTGGAATATTTAAAAAATTCTTTATTGAAAAACATATATTTTCAAGTTTCAGCTTAACTTTATAGTTAATTTCGACAATTTCCATGATTTAATGTTTTGCGAGAATAAAGCTTCAAGTAAAAATAACAATTACAATGTCATTTGTTGAATTTAGGTACCAAAGATGCGTATCGATGGATAAGCGTCCTTGGAAAAATTATGTATATACAATCGTAAGAAAACAAAGTAAAGCAAAAGTCTTTTTCCAGAGCTTTAATGGAAGTATTTCAAGCATTTTATTGCAGAAAAGGCAATAAATCGGATATCACGTATCTGATATCGCGAGATAATCCTTATCGCGTATCTAGGATTTTTCTTTTTCTTCAACTTCTTCTCCAAAAAACAAGAATGCGTTGACATTGTGTATCGTTTATCATTTTATAGTCTTATATTAATCTTATCAAGGAATGCGCCATTATGAGAAATAGGAATCGTCTTCGAAGCGAATGATCAAAGAAATCTTCTCTAATCAAAAGTCCTTGTCCCAGCCAGAAAGTTCGTCCGGTGGAATATCTCGCTCCGGTGGATATCTTTCGAAATTTCGCGTATCGATTCGGTTTCGTACCTAGGAAAAGAAATGAAAAAGATTAACCTCATAGGTCTAGAGTCTTAGAGGCTTTTAAAAAAACACGGTCGAAAAAACTCGAACAGTACAATAGCGCTTGTCTTAATTGAGTGCTAAAAAATCCCAAGTAGCATTTGTTTAACATTACTTAGCAGTCAGTGACGGCGTCGTCATTTATCATAACGCTCCAAATATACTGGGATTTTTCGACACAAAATCTGAAGTGCGTGATCACGCTACTTAGGTCTCTCAAATGGTTAAGAAAAATGAGCAATTAAGGGATAAGAAAGGAAGGAGAACATTTACCGTTGGCACTATAGGTGCAGGCAAGGCTAACCGTTGTAGAGCTTGCCAATTGAATCCGGAAAACCATCTGAAATAAAATAACGAAATGAATTGTCTGGCCACTTAACGATTACTTTCGATATATCTACAATATTAGACAAGATTTGATTACTTGTGATCGCGTATATCCTGTATGCCATTTCTTAGATAGCCCAGTCTCTCGGAAGCGGAATGCCGTAGAAGCTTCTTGATGAAATGGTTGGCGTTTTTATTAACAACGTTTGGTATACCGACAACTTCAATTCCCTTGAGAATCTTGTTGTACGTGGTCATATGATCGGCCGCACGGAAGGGTGGTTTGCCAATCAAAAGTTCGTGCGTCAAAATGCCGAGGGCCCAATAATCCACCGCCCTTTTGTTCACGAGCAAATAATAAACAATATTATTTCCTTTGTTAATTTTGATTAATGGAGATATAGAGATAAAAAGAGAAAGAGGGAGAGATGATTACCGATCATGTCCTTTGTTTAATATTATTTCCGGAGCAACGTATTCAGGTGTACCGGCAAATGTCCATGTTTTGGCCGGACCAATTTTTTTGCTAAATCCAAAATCAACCTGTAAAGAGTTGAAAGATAAAAGAAAATATCGAAGAATATTGCGTAAAGCTAAATACCAAAGTTAAGGACGTACCAGCTTGAGGTAGCCACGAGAGTCGAGCATCAAATTTTCCGGCTTGAGATCTCGATAAACAATATTCAATGAGTGTAGATGATCTAAAGCCTCAACGACGCAACCTACCATGAATTGTGCCGTCGCGTCATCGAAGAATCTTCTTTTTTGTAGAGTCGTCCAGACATCTCCGCCCAGGCAGATCTCCATCAAGAAGTAGACGTATTTGGAATCTTTGTACGTTTGATAAAGTCTAGGAAAAGATGAAAATAATGATAATTGGATTGGTTAAAGTTTAGACAGGTTAAGACGTACTTGCATATGAAAGGAGAGTCGCAGGCTTGCATAATGTGTTTCTCATTGAGAACATGCTCTTGCTGTTGCTGATCAACCATAACCTTTTTCTTCAGCTTTTTAAGAGCAAAACTTTTGTCAGGATCGTTCTTTAAAGTGACCAACTCGACGCGTCCAAAGCCGCCAACGCCAAGCGTTCCTCTCGTTTCGAGATCAAACAAGGTCAGATTTGAGTATTCGTTCGTCCACTTTTTCGGTGTCAACGAACTCTTTTGTTTTTCGTATTCGGCGAGCCAATCCTTGTTGCGAATTTCTTCGAGACTGCCCAAATAATTGAGGAAGGACCTGGAAAAGGTGAGCCGTCAAAATTAGTCGTCAAGGAGTCAAATATTGACGTTAGAAATGTGAAAAAGAGACGACTACTAACGATCCGTCGAGGGTAAGACATTCGACGCCAGGCGCAAGGGCAATTGCGTTCGCGTGTCGACGATGTTCTCCCTCGTCGTCGTAAAGAGCCTTTTCCCCAAAGTACTGTCCTTTACCGAGAACTACTAATTCCTCCTCGCCGCCGTACTCGGTGTCCTTGGTTATTCTTACGTTTCCTCCGCTAATTATGAAAAACTTGTCGCCCTTTTCACCCTGCCGAACGATCCTTGCGCCCGCAGGAAAAAATTCCTACAAGCAAGCGAGGAAACCTTTCGATAAAGGAGATATCGAATTCGAATAGAGATAACGAGTCGATCGCGATTAGACAATTAAATATCTTTACCACGCGTATGAGGTCGGAGATCTTTGCGAGTATCTGATCTCTTGGTTCGGGTAGTTTTTGAAGAACGGAAACTTGCTGGAGGAAGCGAATGTTACCTTCGAGGCGTTCCTGGGCGCTTCTCATCATCACCATTAGAAAGACCGATCTATCCAGTACCCATACTTTACCAGGCTTCTTAACTAATCGCAAAATGGACAGAAAACATCATATATCAGAAATGAGAGGAGAGAACAAAATTGATATGGCTATTATTTGACTTACCTTCGATCGAACGAAGCCTCTTAGTGTTGTAAAGCAAAGCAATCTCTCCGAAGGCAACGCCAGGGCCAAAGGTTCGTTGGAACTTGCTACCTTGATATATGTCGAATTCTCCCTCCGCCGACACGTACAAATGAGATCCTGAAAAAAGGCGCATAGAAGATTGTTCAAATGGAAAATATTTTGTTCGAAGCGAGTCGAGGAATAGGCGCATATAATGATAGGCGCTCACCTATGTCTCCTTCGCGAATGACCATCGTATTGGGTGTCAACTGTTTTGGATACATGGCCGACACGAGAGCTTCCACCTGACTGTTTTCGAGATTACCAAGAAACTCGTTCTCCAAAATGGCACGCTTTATTTGCCTCGCGCTCCTGTTCGTCAAATAAATCCCAATAAATGGAAGCTAAGGATAGATGGATAGATGAATAAATAAGTACCTAGGATCTTTTTCATAGGAAGGTATAGGCGCAGTCGAGGTAGGCGGCGTAGGCGTTCTCCCGATAACGCCCCCGCGAGGATTAGCCGGTTGTACCTGCTCGTATTCATCTCTCTGTTTGACTGTTTCTTCATGTGTTTCCAAGGGTGTTTCGCGATGATTAGTCACTCTAGGAGCTTCGACGGCTCGACTTTTGCTCGAGGTGACCGTTCCATTTGATGCAGTGATATTTGGAAGCGGACGTATCTGTCAGTGATACGAAATATCGCGAGGATCAAGTAAGTAAGTTAAGAGTTAAGTAAGCAAAGAAAAGGGAAAAATTGTTGATACTTACGAAGCCGTAAGTAAGATCCGGATCCCCCGATTGCTTGTAACTGGACGCGATGGGACTCCTCGTGCTTCCGTTCTAACACACATTAGCAGACAAATAGAAAAATAATACTTGTCGCGATAAAACACAGTGCTCGTGGTCAAGGTACTTTTAATCCTCGACTAGACGAGCGATAATGTCTATGTTTTCATGTGAAGAGGTATTATTTACGATTAATAGATATTATTCTCGAGTTGGAAAAAGTACTCACCACGACGACGCTCGATACGCTGGATCCGCCATCGTGATCGTGCGTAAAGTTGATGCTGCCCCTCTGACTGAGAATACTCGCTCTCGGAAAGCACGAGAACCTCATCATGTTTCTCTCATCCAACGCATTTCTCGAACAAACTCTCTTTACACCTGAAATCACAAGATTTGATTTGTTTTCGAGCTCAAGGAAGACGCAATTGCGATCGTTTGCTCATCGGCGAGCGACTGAATGCCATCAGGCTCATTTTATTTCTTTATCTATTCTTCGTTAGCACACTTTGCCTACGTTCTCTGTCGTTGGCAGCGATGGTGGCGGTGGCGGTGACGGCGGTGGAACACGCAGAGGAGAAGGAGGAAGAAAAGCAAGAAAAGGTGGTATCGCGCTAAGGGCTTTGAAATTTGTTGCTATTTCGTTATTGGAAGCACGTGTCTCACGCGATCGTCTCGAGCAGTCACATGATTATGCTAATGACGTTTAGTACTCATTCGTATTACGATTCGTCGTTTTAATGTATTAGCACCTTCTCGGCCAATGAAGTTATTCTTCTCCTCTATCTTGATACTTAACTTTTAACAAATAATTTCGCGAGGATCTTATTAGAAAATGAATACAATTTTTGACGCAACCCTCTCTTCGAGTTAATAACTCTTCGTGTATCTATTGTCGTTCTTGAGATACTCTTGATCAGATCAGATATCTAATCTCTACACTCTTGTATTACACGTTTCGGAAAGGGAAAAAAATACGCCTAACTCTTGTCTTTCTATTATTAAAACAGTAGTTAGTAGTAGTAAAAGCGCCCAATTGGAGTCAAAATCTAACCGAATAACGTGTCTTCCTCTTTTGTCCTTGGCTTCTCATTAAGCTCACGCGACTACTATAGACAGATAGATAAACTTAATTACCTGCAAATAGAGCTTTATCGCGATAATGACGCAGTACATTCCAAGAATTATGCAGCTCGCATGAATTTGCGCTCGGCCGAACAACATCGCGTCCAAATGATATGAAAATTTTCCTACAATAATGATAAATGATTATTTATCGAAACACTAAGGAGGAAACGGTAGATATCATGCACATATGTATTTTCTTTCCTTCTCCTAATGAAGCCAAGGCGATTGGGCTATTTTAAGTAAAAAGTTAAACAAAAAAAGACGGGCAAGGTCGGTAGCACCAAGGTGTACGCTCGCTAGTGTATCAAACGACGATAAGGATATTTGATTAAGCACCAAAGCCGCGGCGCGATCGTACCGAAATGTTCATCGTGTTACGATGTACGTTGATTAACCATCGACTTAATAGTAACCCAAAATTTGTTTTCATTCGATCGAACGATCTAATCGATTGTTCTTTCCATTGCTTTGCTTCGCTCATTTACTAATTAAGTAGGTTCAGTAATGCTGCTGTAACGTAACGACAAATTAATTGATGATTTTCCAAATTTATTGCGATAAATAAAACGCTCTTTATATTTGCTGTCGTTCCGTCTTGGAATCAGAATTGGCAAGACTATGTTTTTCCTCTTTTCATCGTTTTTTGGTCAAAAAAATAGAAAAAGAGAGAGGAGAGAAAGACAATAGGATTTTGTAGCGTTTGCTTTTCTGGAAATAACGAGACTCGTTAAACGCGCGCCCACAATTAAAGCATCGTTATATCTTCGCCTTGTGAGAGATCGTAATGCAAGAAAAGACACAATGCTTTTATATTCATCTTCTTTTTCTTCTTTTTTTTTTCTCTTTTTCTGTTTTTCTTTTTACATAACGCGGAAGACGTTTTCGTCTGAAAGCGCGGAAAAGCGGTGGAACGATATTTCGCAATGCCTCGGTTGCACAACGATCCCGATGGCGTCATTTCTAATAACGAAAGAAAACAAAAGCGAGACAAATGGAACAACCGAGAGCAAGAGATCTTCTATTCCGTCATATCTTTCGACTTTCTTTCACGCTCGAGGCGCTTTATTTCAATCTACTCATACAATATGGCCACGATCGAAATTTTCCTTGGTAACGATCGACCAAGATTTGGGGAAATGAATAAACAAGATCGTTTATTATTCGGACTCACCCTTCAGCTTGAAGCTTAGCGTGCGTGAAGCACGACGATTCGAGTTTCGCTTCGAGAAGGAAAATCTTCCTGACCAAATGAAAAGAGAAAAAGGGAATATTCGATTATTTCAAAAATTCTAATGATTCAATCAAATTCTTCTCCTTTTCTCTTCTTTCTTTATCCGTTTTTCTCGCTGCACCACTCGAATTTGTGTATTCGACTGATATTCCAAGTTCGACAAAGACGCAGAAATCTTATCTAGCCGATAACAAGACGCAGTGTCAACAGATAGGTATGTACGCGCGCCTATCAGAAAATCTTATCTAATGAGTCTATTCTCCTTTCGATTAACAAGCTCTCTTCTCAAATGACTATATACATATATAGTCTTTCGATGTATTATTACTTTCCTCTTCATCTCAGATAGCTCGAATATATCCGTTCAATATTTTTCAATATTCTGTACGAATTATTTTAACCAATTCTATCGGCTTATCAAAAGATATACCAAAAAAAAAAAACATAATTCGTCAATGTGAGTATTTATTGTAAATAATCTCGATAAAGATGGCCCCTCTCCCCAATTTGTTAAATCTTACCTTTTCAAAAATTCTTATTATCTACTTGCTTTGAATTTGTTTTTTACAAGCAAAGCAAAACAGAAATATCCTTGCGTCACATGTCTGTTACGTAAAAGTCGAGCGCACCTGTATCGATTGCAATCATTGATTATAATATGAATTAATGAATAAGGTGAACGAATCTTTTTCTCACTAACCGTAACTCGTCGATTTTCGATTTATTCAATAGCATTGTGCTCGTGATAAAATCCCTAACCGGAAGAAAATACTTACTTTTAATAGTCGCAGTCGTCACTTGAACGTTCTTCTTTTTGAAGATTCTTCAGACTTCTTCATACTTGATACTTTCTTTCTTCGCTATTCTCTTATTTTTTTCAAATATAAAAAACTTTATTGGTTCAACAAGACGAAAGAGTAAAATCGTTTAATATTTCTACTTTGATTAAACTAATGATTAAAATCACCAAAATTGGAGTAACATTTGAAGAAATAGCATAAGCGCCTTTAACATACACTTTTTGGTGTGATTCAATTTATGGAATAATTTAGAGTTAGTACGGTTTATTGTTTGCGTTTCGAGTAGCCTATTTAGGTAAGTATTTAAGCAAGAATTTAGAAAGATCCAAAGTAAGGCATTACGTCGCTTTACGTCGCGTTGAGTTTAGTTGATTGACAAGTAAAGATAATAGAATGGTAGCGCGTGTTATCAGGGGGCCGGCCACGAAGCTACTAAAGTGGAAATACGGACTTGGGAATTTTTCACGGTGGCTTTGCCGATGTCGATACGTTAGCCGCAGCTGACCACCACCAGCCTCGACCCTGATCATGCTGCTATCGATGATTATCGGTAAGCGTTTGCTTGCGTCTACTTTAACTCGGCCGAGTGAGGTACAATGTCACCTACATGTAGTACATCCGTATTTTGTGCGTTGATGGTTTAATGCGATAGAAGAGAGGACTAGATTTTATTTGAAAAATATTTAATAATAAACATTGACAATATACAGAGAAAATACGCCATAAGAAGTCGCTATGGGAGTAATAAGAACCTAACAACTGGTCCAGACTTAGAAAATATCATCAAATCAGACAATGATAAAGGTGTCATAAACGACACTTTTTATCCCTATTAGTATTTTGCAACTAAAGTTCGCGATGATTGTATTTCCTGTTTCTCACGTTTCTCTCTCTCTCTCTCTCTCTCTCTCTCTCTTTCCTCTTCTTTTTACTATGTCATATTTATGTATGTATATATTTATATATATGTATATATATTATTAAATATATATATACATATATAGGTCTATAGCGTATCTTTTCAATTTTTATACTTTGAAAGTCGTGCGCGCGCGTGCGCGCTTAGGGGCTAATGTGCAAGAAAAAAAAAAGAAACGATTCGCACCGTGAATTAACAAACTGTTTCTTGTCAATTTGTGAACGAAGACGAAGCATTGAAAGCGTCATTTTCGTTCGCGAATCGTATCCACTAGTATATATATATATATATAAATATGTATATTGTTTAGCGAGCTAAAAGAGAGAAAAACGAAAATTGACAGGTATCGCTTCGTCTAAATTGTTCGCTCGTGCTTTATTTTCTGTATCACTGAGAAATTTGTTGGTTTTTTTTTCTTTTTTTTTTCCCCACCTGTTCTTTCTATTTACTTTCACACATTACAATTTAATTAATGATAACATTATTAATAATTAAGAATATAATCATGAATGAGTTTAATTTATAATTAAAGATCTCGTAGAGATGGACCGGTTTGGGCCGGCATTATTAGCTTGCCATCTTCGTAGTACGAAGTTTTTAAGACGAGAAGAAATAAAGTGTTCTTGATTCGAAGAGGTACACGAGATGCGTTTTCTCACTTTAATCATACACGTTATTACGCTATTTTGCGCACGCACACGATAAACTTTTTACATTCATTCGTTCATACACACGAACGCACGCACGCACGCACGCACGCAAATCTTTGACCTAAATGTAGGTAATAATCATTGTTGTGCCATCAAAACGCCGTAATGTCATGGAACATTCTTCTTTCTCGTTATTATATATATATATATTTTTTTTTAATTATTTTTCTAACATTTTCTTTTGCGATTATTCAACAGTGGGCAGACACAACTTTTGTCAAGATTCATTATGAAGAACGTTGGAATTTGTCCTTTTTGTTGCTCGGCCCACATTTTCTTCACTTATATATTCTTACTTTTACGTTGTCTATTTGTATGTGTGTGTGTATATATATATGTTTTTTTTTAAATTTTTTTTCTTCTTCCATCTTATCGCAAGGAGTTGTTACTTTTTTTTTTTCGAGACAACGATTCCAACTCCTTTCGAGTATTACGGGTGAATGAGTTTCTATGAAAGTGTTACACGTGTGTTATACTTGTCCATTTTTTTTTGCCTCCTCGCGCAACGTCGACTCTCTCTCATAGAACTAATTGTAAGACGGTAAAAAGCACAGAGAGATCTCGATTTACGCCCTTGCCTAATACGCTAGGATATGTTACTCGTTAGATGTGTGTCATTACGTCATGTATTCATCTAAATTTTTTTAAAAATTTTCCTTTAATTAATGTTTTATATCGCTAGTTGTAAGATTTATACGTATAACATACGGTGCGTATCATTGAATAACGTTCTAATTCTGCTCACTTATCTCTTCATTTTTTTGTTCTTCCTTCCTTCCTTCCTTCCTTCCTTTTTTTTCGTTTCGTTTTCTTTTTACATTTTTTTTTTTTTTCAATAACTAATCTGATACAAGCCGATGTAAGAAATCATGAAATGAATTTTTGGATATTCAGTGCTTTAGTTCACGTTTTTTCTTAATCTTATTAACAATTATGATTGGATATATTTTTTTTCTCTATTTCCGTTTGGTGTTCTCGATGATTTTTTTTTTCTAAGGAATACTCGACTAAGAGTTAAATAAAAAGATATTGCCATTTAAAATTGTCTTTACACTTAAGTTTTTGTCACTTAAAGATCAAATTCAAGGGTTAAGACGAAGAAGAAGGAAGAAAATGTAAACATTACGTTTGAAAAGAGATAACGGAAGAAAAGAAAGAGAAGAGAAGAGAAGAGAAGAGAAAAGAAGAGAAGAACGAAATATATGGTTGTGCAGTTTGTGACGCGCTTTCCCTTAATTTGAGCTTGACTTAATTTTTAATAACTATTTTATAGTGATAGCCTACAGATAAAGATATCGATTACGAGTAAGTATAAATTTTAGTCACAGTTTACATTACATAGAATTAATTCTGAAAGCAATTCGTTCATTCGAGACGACGCATTCTTTGAAATGTTCAATATTTTCAATGGGAATTATGAACTTTTCTAAATACTATAGTGGTTCTATTTATTTTTCAATTCTTCTTATTCTTCTCTCCAAGAAAAGAATGAATTATTATCGACTTTAATAATAGCCATCCATCCTTCCAGCTATTTTCTTGGTAGAATAAAGTTAATCGTAATCGTAATCGTAATCGTATTTTCTAATCCTAATCGTAACTGTAATCACGTAGCAATTAAGATTACCTCTTATTTAGACATTTTTCATATTTTGTTGGATATTGTTAGGATCTATTTCGATCCATCAATCTTAACGCTTAAAAGAAAATTATGAGTATATCTTGAATAATCCTCTTCGGCTACGCTCTTTGTGCTCGACGATCGATCCTTTTCTATTTACACATTTATATAACTGGCAGCTATGCACACGCAAGCAAAAAGACCTCTTTTTTTCTTTTTCTTACATTAGTCCATTTGGAAAAGTCTCGAAATATAGAGATAGAGATAGATAAAGATAGATAGAGAGAGAGAGAGAGAGAGAGAAACAGAGAGAAAGAGAGAGAGAGCTATGCATTGGTAATCTTATTCTAATATTCTAGGGAGATGTATAAAGTAAACGATAAAATAACGGCTAAGAGGTTATTCCAGCCGTTAGATAGGTAAAAATAAATCTTTCGTCATATTTGGCTACTATCGTATATTCCTCGCATTTTCCTATCGCCCGTTCACTGTCCTCTATTTCCCTCTTCCATTCATTTCGTTTCCTCTTCAGGAGTGCAAATATTGCGCGCGCAACGATGTCCTTACTTCCTTCTATGTATATATTCTATCGTAAGAAATGTCTTATTCGCTTACGTATAATATTAGATTAATCCTCCCGCGCTAATTATAACTTAAAAGATAAGGGCGTAAGGTAATATATCACTCTCACTCGTCTCAATGTGCGTTCAATTTCCATTTCGAGTTAATCCGTCGAAAAGTGTAACTTTTACTTTGTTTGTTTTTTTTTCTCTCTTTCTTGATATCTTATTAATCCTTAACTACAATCGGAAGAAGCGAGCAAGGAATAACGAATCTTTCAACGATTACAATTGTTTTTTTTTTTTTTTTTTTTTGCGAAAGACGCGTTTCTCGAGACAAACTATTTTGAGCGAAAATAAGAACTGATTCTCTACGTTCTCGTTTTATCTTTACTAAGATATTTAATTAAAACACACAATTATGCAAAGCATAATAATACCTAAATCTTTCTATAAAAATTCACATAGAATTGTACGCGCACCCGCGTAGATATATAAAGAATGACGTATCAAAAATATACATAAAGATAGAAAAGCGTTGTTATACGCTTATTTGAAATACGCAAAACAAAGATGCAAATTGTTCGTCGGCATCGAGACTTTTCCTTCTCCCGTTTCCCCGATCATCATTCGACAGATAGATCGATCTTTGAAGAATATAAGGACGATTGTCAGCTCGATATAATTAAGCCAAAATCGTATTTCTTTGAATGTTAAAACTTGGTAGTGACGAATGCGCATATATGTACTCTCGTGAACGAGAGCCTGATCAACTATCTTTCTTTCTTGCTATTTTCTTTCTTCTCAATGAAAGATCCTTCTCGCGATGTAATATTGATAATAGTAATAGAATAATAAAATAATATAATAATATTAATAATAATTAAAATAGAGCAAGTGCGCAACGTACGCCTAATGACACTGAATATAAACGTGTTATAAGCTACATTTGCACAAGAAACGTACGTTTCGATTTGGTTTTATCGACATAATTTCTATCGTTTCTAGAATACAATATAAAGAGATAAAGAGGAAAAAGAAAACTAATAAAAACAAAACAAAAAAAAAAAAAAGAAAATGGAAAGGCGAACGAATTTTCGAAAGGACTTATATTAGTAGACATATGCGCAGTGAGTCCGTCCTTTGGCTCGCCTTGCCAGAGAGTATTAAGTTCGTTTTCAAGTCGAAATTCTTTTTTTCAGAGAATCAGATGATGTGTCATCTATATTTGGAATTTGACATTGAGAACGTTGCGATGTTTAAAAATCGGTGGTGCTTCGATTAGGAACCGGTAAGAGAGAGAGTATCTGACTAGACCCCGTTGAAATCCTGTGCAACGTCCAACTGTATTCTTCGTTGTTCAGTGCTTTTTAAAAGGACGCCAATCACTTTTCTAAGAGAGATAAGTGTTTTTCATTCAGTAGAGAATGCTTGTGTTTTCTTTCTTCATTTTTTTTTCTCACCAGACTGCTTTTGATAAATAAATTAGGATAAAAAAGAGGGGAAAGGTCTCTCTCTCTCTTTCTCTCTTTCTTATTAATGATTTAAAAGACGCAAATGTTTGAGGACAAAAAGAGCGTGGGATGATGATTTGGTCACGCGATCGAGGAGAACGCGTCGGTGATAGTGGTGGAACGAGGGAGGACAGCTGTTCTTCTTGAACGTTGGCAGGCGCAAAGGGTCCAGACGTCGCTCTTCTTCCTTCATTATTTTGCGTGTAAACGTTAAATGTATCGACTTCGTGTATATAGTTGCATATGCGTGTGCGCGAACGTGTATCGCTGCCGTTGTATTGCAATTGTTATTGGCGACGACGTTGTCATTGTCGCTTTCTGCTCGTGTTTTTTGCCGACCCTTTTTCTTAGCTCTCTCCCTCTCTCCCTTTTTTTCCTTCCTTCCTTTCTTTCTTTCTTTCACACACACTCACACACACWCTCTCTCTCTCTCTCTCTCTCTCTCTCTCTCTCTCTCTCTTTCTAAGCTCTTATTTAATATGGTGTAAATCTGTTGTATCCGCCTCTATAGACCGTTGCCTAAAAAACAGAAAGAAAAGAAAATGTCATTTAAGGGTCAATGATCTTTGATATATCCATGATCGTCCAACAATCTCTTACCCCGTATCCTGCGACCGGGCCGATACCGTGTCCGAGATAAGGGTCGGGATATTCTCGTCCGTAACTGCAAAAACATAATGCGCATTTAGAAATGTTTGTTCAATTGAAGGCAATCATATGAAAGGCAATTGGTATCAACATTAAAAAAAGATGAGAAAGGAACAGATATACAGTTATTAGGAAATAAAAGTAAAATAATAGGATATACGAACGAAGTCGTGATTTGTTTAAAACTTTTCATCAGGATTTTCTTTAGGATGTTCTTGAGGAGGAAAGGATTGGCATTCGGACATCATTTCCTCGAATCTGCGACTCCTAAGAGCTCGCCCGCGACGACGATTTCTTCTGCAAGTCGACACAGTGCAATACGGATCATGTATAAAAAAGAGGAGGACTAGGAGAGAGGGCTGTTTGTTAGGTGGCGTTAAAGATAATACTCACCCCGCTACTGCGGCATATCCTGCGACCGGTTGTGCTGCTGCTGCAGCTGCGCCGTATGCGCGCGCAGCCACCGCCGTGTAGGTCGCCGCAGCTGCATAACTCGCTTGCTGTGCCGTCGAGAGTGGCGTCTTTAGCAATGGCGATGCTGCGGCCGCCGCTGCAGCTGCCTGAAACAATAATCATGACCCGCCATGCAAGGCTCAAAAGCAAGCTCGAAGAATCTGAACAAAGAAATGGCTAGAGATCGAGAGAACAAGAGGAAAAGAATGACGACACGAAAACGATATAAATGATATTTGAATATTATATAACATTGTTGTTGTTATAGAACACATTGCTGACGATGATGATGACTCGCGCATAGGGGGGTCTTTCAAATCATCGTCGACGATTTCTATCGCACACACAAACAAACCTTTTGAATTATTTATGAAAATATCTATGTTCTTTAAAATGCTAAGAAATACTGTAAATATCCTAGGAGATCTCGATCGATAGAGAGAGAAAGAGAGAGAGAGAGAGAGAGAGAGGGAAAGAAAGAAAGAACGGTGGAGAGAAAAAGCAATGCAACGTCTTAAAAGCCTCTGGTTTCATCGGCTGAACTTAAAATACGCGTTTGCGCATTTTGTAAAGAGCAGAAAGGAACTTTGGTATTTTATTGCTCTCTCTCTCTTTCTTTTTCTCTCATTGTAGCGTTGCGCCGACGATGATGGACCTCTTGCGAGCAAACGATGCTTAACGGTGTTTTGTTGAGATCGCTCTCGTGTCATTGCCAAAAAAGCAAGGTTAACAACTATGTTAACGTCTTTATGATACAAGGGATATTTGCTACGTGACCCTCTATCTAGCTAGCAAATCTAATAACTTGGAAACGTTCTCCAATTGCGTACGTTTCTTATTAAATGAATTTACTATAATAAAACTTTAGCAAAATTTATCTTATGCAAGAGATTGTCTTTTAACAAAAAGGTAAACAATTTTTGTTCGATGAAAAGTAAAGCGAAGAAAGATGAAAAACAAAAGAGAAAAAGTAATACGATTCATGCGAAGACGAAGAGCGGCTTTTCGGAAAGAGAAGAAGAAAAGCCCAAGTGTATATATGATTCTGAATGACTACAGCGTGTAGGTATCCATGAGATGTCGAAGCGAGGATGTATGTGTGTAAGTGGAAAAAAAAGAGAAAGAGAGAGAGAGAGAGAGAGATAGAAGGAGGAGGAAATATTTGCAGTTACTCTCCAAAGATGTCCATCTTTAATCCGATCATCTATCGATTACGTTTATGATGAAAAAAAAAAAAAATCATCGACCTCGATAGTAGACAAGTTTTCCACAAGAGTTTTTGAAAGGCAAAACTTTGATTGCGAAAACAGGAACGAGTGCAGCGAAAACAAAATTTAGATGGCGCCAGAAAAGTTTCGCCTCTTTCGTAAACTAGCTTGTTATTTTGTCGGCTGATTTGAAAGAAGCCATTACGACGCGTTGGTTTTTTAGATAGAAGAGAAAAAAGAAAAAAAAAAAAAGGATAGCGGAAGGACGAGTTAGAACGAAAACACACAAGGAACAATGACGGTAATGTTCATTCAATGGAGTTTCCATGAACTATTCCTTGTTAATTTTTTTTTTTTTATTAAAGAGGAAAGTATCTACTTGGTTTTATACTAGAAGCATGCCTAAGTGGTATTAAAAACATTAGTGTAGGACGATATACTTAATTGTACATCTTTCGACACTTTTGATACTTTGCATGGAAACGCAAAAACTCGATGCCATCTACGAGAGGTATTGTTGCGGTGGGATTATGCAATATTTATATCTGTATACGTATGTACAGGTATATATATATACCTACGCCTACGTAAAGATATATACAAGTTTATTATTGAATGCGGGTACAATGCGAGTACAATAATGCAAGTTATTACGAATGCACCGGCGGGGTATTTAAGTATCTATATGCAACCCAAAGAGAGAATCTGGCGTTAGTAAATAGAAATAAAATATATATATATATGTAAATACGAATAACAAATACAGAGTTATAATATTTGGTATAAGAAAAACGTAGGTACGATCTACGCAATCGACGTGCGCGTACGTAACTTTGTAACTTGGTATAAGTGAAACACAATAGAGATGCAACTAACGAGATCTCGACGGGAAATAGGAAAGTGGAAAGAAAGATTTGTTAAAAACGGAAGCGAAGCAGCGATATTTAATTTTGACCGGAGAAGAGAACCAAAAAGAAAAAAAAAAGAGATTCGATCTTCGAAAGAGTTCTTTGTCGCAAAACGTTCGCCGATCTCGTTAGATTTTCTCCTTGATTGTAATATATTCGAGGATAAAGAGATCTAAGAAAAGAGATTTAATTTAACGGCATATAACGTTTCAAGGTTTTCATTGTGCTCTTACATCCTAGGATTAATCCTTGATAGGAAAGGAAAGGAATTAGTAATCTCGTTTTCAGTGCGAAACGTCTCTTAAATAGGATCACTGTGTGGCAGACAGCGCAAACGAAAAAAAAAAAAAAACCTCTCGTACGCGTCCCCTTTTCATTTTCAGACAAAAGATTATTTCATTTCGCGCTTGATTCGTGGTTAAAGAGAAATATTTGGCCAAGCGTATTTATAAAATGCAACTAATATTCTACGAAATGATATTTTGCTTGAACACAAGTTTGGTATTTTCCTTTTTTAAATTCCAAATAAGCGACCTTAACTTAATTGCTATTCTACGATCGATCGGCGAACATCCTTTGCGATTTTTCGCGATAAGCAAGAACGATAAGAAGAGAATAAAAAGAGACGGTAAAAAAGCATAATTTACTATTGTAACGAATGAAAAGAAAAAAAAAGAAAAAAAAAGAAAGTAAAAATAAATTAAATAGAGAACAAAAAAATAGGTAAACCAAAGGAAAGAAGAAGAGAGATAGAGAAAATACGTTTGTATGGGCGGACCACCCATAAAAATCCTACCTCCAGAGCGGGTGCTTTAGCCTGAAACACAAACGGCAAACCTGAAAAGAAGTTTCAATGCGCGAGGATCTTCGATAATGCGCTATTTACATGATATTTTATCTCCCACTTTTTACCTCTCTTCTATCAGAGAACAACAAAAATAAAAAAGAAACCGAAATCAAAAAGGAGGAAAAGGATAAAAAGGAAAACAATTTCTCTTCTATTAGAGCGAAGGGAGGCGACCGTTTCCTCTCCTCTCTCTTCTTCAACGGCGAGGCTTTCACTCTTTGCGCTACCTATATAAAGAGACGGAAGAAAGAAAGAAAGAAAGAAAGAAAGAAAGAAAGAAAGAAAGAGAAAAGAGAAGGGTGGAGAAGGGAGGAAAAGAGAGAGAGAGAGAGAGAGAGAAGAGAGGCTGGGCTCTTCTCGAGATTTAAAGAAGAGAATAGAAAAAAAGTGAGATAGCGCACGTCGCGACGCGAAAGGCAGAGGCAGAGAAAGAGTATACGAGTAATAAGTATGCGTGTGTATGCAGAGAGCATGGAAATAACGAAAATGTCTGATACGACGATCAAAATAGAGGCGAGAAGAAGAAAATGATTCGTGACCCGAAGATCATTATTCGGTGCTCTTTTGCATTTCATGTGATAGCAAGGCTTGCAGAAAATATGTCGACTAACTTCTGCTGTAGCTTGTGGCCATTCCAACTAAACGGGTCCGTAAATTGATGGACTTTAGTTAACATTTTCCTACCAAATCGACATTTTCCGCTGTAATACGGTGCACGCGCGATTCTTCACCCTCCTAACTATTGTCGTAATGGTTCCTTGTTTTGTTTATTTTTCTTTTTTTTTTCTATTTCGGAAAAATATCATGGAAGGGCGTTTCGTTTCGATACTTATTGTTATATTTGAAGCGATCTCGCGAATGCACATGCACGCATACGTTGACGCTGTCAAAGTCACTTATGCGCAAAGCAATCGCGGCCGAATAAGCTCGAAATATTTTTTTGGAGCAAAACAACGACGCGGTTCCATGAAAAAACGTAATTGATATTTTTTTCTTCGTTCCTAAGCTTCCTTTTTACGTCTCTCTTCCTCTTCCGCCGCGTTTGTCGCTCCGTGCACCGGAAGCGGATATATTTTGCGTTGGAAAAATATATCTCACGTTGAAGTGCAAAGTGTCTCACCTGTAGCCTGTAGTTGGGGTCCTGTGTCGCTGCGTGCGCTGCCAAGAAGGGGTCATAGTAGACACTGAAAAATATTAAAATCAATAAAATCAGCAATTATATTTTAGTTATCTTAGGTGAGGATGGAGGGAGTTCAGGAGGAGGGAGTTCAGGAGGAAGGATTCAGATGATTTATATATATTATTGAGGAGGTCGAAGAAAATTGACCGAAACGTGTCGGTCCTTCTTTTATTTATTTTTCCTCAATTTATTATCCGATTAAAAGTTTAGGAAAAATTTGGTGCAAGTTTCGCGTAATCGATCTCGTCTCGAAAAATTGTCGCTCGAGCACGCTCAAAAAAATATCGACGAAGACAGCGAAGGGTTCCTTTGTCTGATGTGCTTGCAAAAAAAAAGGTAATGAACTTAGAGGGCTCTCTCCTCCATTCTCCGTAGCTACAAAATGATCGTAATTTGCGTAACACATTAGGATTAGTTTTCCTTGTTGCGCCCCGAGCTCGTGCAGATGCAACCTACATATTCTCACTGTATAATATATTATATTTACACACCATGTATGTTGTATCTATCTATCTATCTATGAAATACACAAAAGCAAACGGGCAAAACGTGTAGCGAAGCTTCTTCTTTCTTTGCGACAAACGAGTCGTCTTTATAATTTGACATAATTCATTAAACGAATCGTTAATGCAATGAAATAAATATTGTTTTTTATTAAATTTTTCGTAGTCGTTTGGAATTCGAATCGTTTGTCTCGTCTACGCTTTATATCTCCTTCCTCTCGATGATTAAAAAAGCATTGCTTACCACATGGATCTTACACGATCCGGACAAAAAATGTTCATGCAAAGATCTCCTTAATCCTTTGTGAAATCGATGCGATGTCAAAGAAACTCGAAAGAAAAATTTGCTGGAAAAGCGTGGCCGACTTTCTCGAGAAAGACATGCTTTTTTTTTTCAAATTATTTTCGTCACATTCACAAATAATTTTGATCGTTTTCCGATCGCAATGACATTAGAGGAACAACAATATCGTTTATATATTTACTATGAACTGTTGATATCCTAAGCTTTTCGCAAATTTGTATGATTTCATTTCAAAGATGTCTGGGAGAGTGAAAAGACTGAGTAAAAGACGATAGACAGAAAGAGATAGAGATAGAAAGATAGAAGAAGAGAAAGAGAGAGAAAGAGAGAGAGAGCAAAAGCGTTGGAAAGGAAAATAAGTGTACTTACGCAGGCGCAAAGGGATGAAGGGCCGTTGCAGCGGCCGCAGCCGCGAGCGGCCCTGGGTTTCTGGCCAACGCCAACGCCGCCGCACTGCTCGGAAAAGCTGTCCTTGCCGCTCCAACTCTTCCCCTTTGAATTGCCACTCCTCTTAATGCTGCAGCTGAAACAATGCCCACATGCCAACATTTTGTTTTCTTACCTTTTTTTTTTGTCATTTCTTTCTTTCTTATTATTTTCATCTCTTCCTCATTTTGTCAACTTTTGCAGGATACATTGATCGGCTGGTTGGATACTGGTTGAATGCCGCGCCGCGGCTAAGTGCCCGAGACGAAGCGCACAGACTGTCTTACGAGATTTCCTTTCATTTATTTAGATAGATAGATAGATAGATAGATAGATAGATAGAGAGAGAGAGAGAAAGAATAAGAAAAGTAAGGGTGTGTGGAGAGAGAAAAGTTTCGAGAATGCTCAACATCGTAGTATCTGCATTATTCCAGAGTTTGCACGATTTGTGAGCAAAATTATACTCGGTCGTGTTTAAGAAGATAAGGAGGATACGCGAGTAGTCACTTTTCTGAATTGGAGAATTAACATCTAGGAAGGAATATCAAATGAGAGATTTTCTTCGTTTCGTCGAACGAAACGTTCTTCAACGTTTCTCCCTTTTTTTTTTTTTTAATCATTTCTCTCTTTTTCTTTCTCTCACTTTCACTAAAGACGAACTAAGAAAAAAAAAAAATAGGAGCAGAAGAGAAGACAGAGGGGATACTTTTCTGCCTACCTTTAGCCAGCATCCTTTGCGTCAGACTCGTGGGCGTTAAATAAGCGCTTGAAAAGTGCGAGCACGTACGAGGCATACATTCACCGACGTTAGTTCACACTCGGAAAGAGACCGTCATTAATTTACATATGCTTTTTTTTCCAAACAAAATATAACGATGTCGAAAAAGAAGCGCATTCCGCGGAAATACGCTGTAGGGTTTTTGAAGTATATCGTAGGAAGAGACACAAGCACGTTTTCATTTTACAACTAACGCGGAGCCCTCCTATTCTTTTTCAATGAACAATTCAAAATGAACCGACTCGAACAGTAGTATACTCGTTAAATTCAACGACTGAAGTAAGAGAAAGAGAGAGAGAGAGAGAGAGAGAGAGAGAGAGAGAGAGAAGGAGAGGAGAGATACACGAATCTTAAACTATACAACTACAAAACCCAATAATCTTGGCCGAAATATCTCTTTCAGTTTTAGTCTCTTTAAAATACGAGACTAGGATGATACGCGATAGATCAGTAAAAACATGTGATTATCGATAATAAACAACAACAATAACATTAGCAACACCAACGCGAAACAATAATAACACCAAAAACGTAATCGATAAGGATGAATTTTACCGGAGAAGTTGGCTCTCTGTTGATCCACCAGGACGCGTGTTACGCGCGTATATGAGTGTTACGAGCTATGTAAGTAGATACATAATACTATATTCGGCACTCTACAATCTACTAGATCTATCACGAGCAATGCTTGGTGTTATATGCATAAACAGTGCAGGCACATTCCAAAGGGGTGTGAGATAAACATAGGTATAACAGAGAGACAAAGAGAAAGAGAAAAAAAGCTATAACACAAACGCAATGAGAATTTTGACCTCTTGTGCGATGGAAGTGTTACAATTGTGTGAATATGATTACACGGGTCGCAAGGACGAAGAAGAAGCGTTATTTCGTCGGAAAGATCCGAAGCTTTGTCCGCGCTTTATTGAACGCCATTAAATAGAGCGCGAAAGCGAGAGAGAGTGTGTGTGAGAGAGAGAGAAAGAGAGAGAGAGAGAGAGGGGAGAGAGAGAGAGAGGATTAAGGGGTTAAGGTTAGTGTTAGGGAAAAGGGAAAATCGTTCTTATTGTCTGTACCTTCGTCTCGCCGCCGCCCTTGGTGTAAGGACGAGAGAGAGTGTGTGTGAGAGAGAGAGAAAGAGAGAGAGAGAGAGAGGGGAGAGAGAGAGAGAGGATTAAGGGGTTAAGGTTAGTGTTAGGGAANTATTGTCTGTACCTTCGTCTCGCCGCCGCCCTTGGTGTAAGGACGAGGGGTGCAGCTGCGGGGGATGGGGTGACCGCGGCTGCTGCAACGGCCGCAGCCGCGGCTGCCGATGGCGCCGCAGCACCCAGCCAGCTCCACGGCATCGCCGGCAACCTGTATCCTGCGTTATCCCACGTTTTTCTTTCATTAGTCCTTTGCCTTAAACACTTTTCTTTTCTTTTCCTTCCCTTTCTATCCCTTTTTTTTTCTTTTTGCCTAGTCGATCATACATAACGACGCGCGTCACGGCGCTGCTGGGGCTAGTAGTCGAGACTCTTTTTTTTTCTTTTTTTGCCTTCCATCGATTACCCGTTACGACGATATTCCGCTACAACCTAATCCCCGATCCTTAATCCCATGCGACCTAGATTTTGTCCACTTATCTTGTGACGTACATTAAGAGGTTGCTGATTATTTTCAACTGACAGATCAATCGCGCGCATTTATTGAGGACAAAGGGAAATAGGAGAGAGATACTAGTTTAATTCGACTAGTCTTAGGTAAACGTTGGGATATTTGCGTGGACGTCCCGTTGCGCGCGTCCGAATATGCAAATGATAGAGCAAAGTCTTATCTTCGAGCACACGGTCCATTGGGGGATTATCGAGAAAACGATTAATTTTCCAACGAGGTCGGTCATTCATTAAATCTTTATGTGAGTTAGCGGTACGATCGTTTGGAAGCTTCCTTTTTTTTTTCTTTCGAAAGTTTCGATATTTTACAAAGTCGCGTTTGCGTGTCGCCGAATACAACACACGCACGATAACATCCCCCGCGACCATCGCTTCTATCGCGATCTTCTACTATCCCTTATACTATCCCTTGTAATAGGTTTATTTTTTTCCGTCCTCTATACACGACCTATTCTTCGGCAGTCATTTTTCCTTCCTCTTCGGAAGAATCCTTTCCCTTCTTCCAATCGACTTTTCCTGCTGGATGACCGATCGAAGTGATTCGTATTTCGCGTGTTCTCTGTAATTAAGACCGAAACACTGGCCGCGATATGATCCCATCTGTTGGAGCTCGATAAACGTGTCGTGCTTTACGAGGTGCCGTCTTTTTCGCCTAATTTCCGCCACGAAAGAACTCGCGATATGACCGAGGGACGTATATTTCAAACAACTTGAAAAGTTTATGTACATTAACCGGATATACTTATTAACCGATCTTTCTCCGCGATATTTTATTAACGATCTACACTTAACTTTCTTCACTTTGTCGTCTTTAACGATCTCGTCTAATTGTAATTAACATAAGTAAGATTGGAAATAATGCGAGAGAGAAAGAACAAGCTGCTGTTTGTTCGAACGTCCAAAGATATCGGGAGACGAGTAAACGAGAGAGACGAAGAATCATCGATAACGACTAGAGGAAATGATAGCGAGAGAGAAAAGAGGGTTGCTCGAGTAATTATTATGATCGAATCCAGTGCCTAGAGGCTTCGAGACTACGATGGAAATTACGAGAAACGGTGGCAAAGAGAATAGAGGGGTGTTGGCAGAACGAGATGAGAGGTTCGAACGAGCTTCTCTACGAAGGGGTTGATGCCGTACAGAGAAGAGAGAGAGAGAGAGAGAGAGAAGAGAGGTGTGCTTGCTGCTGAGCGATCAATAAATGCTGCTGCCAGCATCCACCCGCAACCAGCTTTCTCTCTCTCTCTCTCTCTCTCTCTCTCTCTGTCACTCTCTCTCTTACACGTTTCTTTCTCCTCCTCTGCTATCCATCTTTGTCATCCTCCACTGCCTTTCATTTCTCTTGCATTCTTTTCTCTCTACGCTTTTCATAGATACACATTTTTCGTCTATCGTTCTTTTCTAACAACTTGTGTGCGTCTATGTGCGGTGCCATAAACGAAGAGAGAGAGAAAACATTCGACCATTGAAACGATCGAATGCGAAAGAATTTCTCAAATAACGTTCTATCTCTAAATTGAATATAATCTTGTTGAATTTTTGCGCAATCATCGACCGATCGGAAGTAGATAATTTAAAAAAAAAAAAGAAAAGTATTAAAAGAGATCATTAGCGGAGCGATATGAACGTTAACCAGACATAAAAGGAGAACAGAGGTCGAACACGTGCGGGACGCTGACTCGTCCAAAAATAAAACTTTCAATTTGCTTCGTAAAATATAAGGGGAGATGATATTGAAAGGACGTTTTTACATTTAGCCCCTCCCCTATCTCCATTCGAGAGATTCTAGTTGTTATTACGTACTTAATGTTAAATTACAAGATTTGTTGGAAAATAAAGAAACGTGTTTGATTTGTACACGAAATCGGAATATTTTTTAACTCGTACAGAGCAATATTTTGTCGGCAAACAAAAAAAAAATGAGTCTCGAGTTTCTAGCTGACAAATGCGCCGTGTCATACGATTCCATCGTTAATAAAATACTACATATTTTTAAACGATTATTCGAAATCAATATTAATTTTTAACAAGATCGTGCTGTCATGGCAGCCTGCATAGGAAGAGCTACAGGATGATAAGATGAAAGGAAAAAAGAGAAGAAAAAAGAAAAGATAGATAGATAGAGATAGAGAAAGAGAAGAGAAAGAGAAGAGAAAGAGAGAGAGATATATATATATATATGTATATATAAATATAAGAGAAAAACATACATTTTCAAGAAAAATAAAGCGATCTCATAAAAGGAGGCCAGGCATGCTTCTCGTTCTCTTTTATCGTGCCGATGAAAGAGAATCGTTACTCCCTTTGAAACTAATAGCAATTAGACGATATACGATACATACATATGTACGCATCGAACCAATAGAAGGGAGAAAAGAGAAAATAATAAGAGTACAAAAAAAAATGAAAGGAAGGAAGGAAAAAAAAATAATACGACCACAATAGAAAATAAAAAGGAAAAGAAAAAGAAAATTTTTCAAAAAA